CATGTTTTACATCATAGTGTGATTTGGTATCAAAATAAGTAGGAGAAGTTGAGAAACAAGCATTTTACTGGTGGGTTGTCGTCAAAAGATATGTGACAATTGGACAGAGCAAAATGCAACTTTTCAGCTTTCCCTTGGCAAAGTGCCACCATGTTGGCATCATCATATATAGACAGACGAGAGCTCAAAATAGCCACAAAGATGCATTTCTCCAATGAAAAATAAAGCCAGCTTTATTTTAAAAAAAAAAGACGCTAGAAGAAACATACATGATTTCGCCTACATGCCAGCTCTGCATGAATAATTTTCCGTCAAAGACGACACCACCTGCGTAAGATGCGAACGTCATGGCACCTTTTCTATTTTCGAAACGGGGTTTTTTTTTATTCCTTTTTGAGACCGCCGTTGACGAAATCATATGCGTCGCGTCATACGCAAGGGGAATACCGGGATCTTTGGCTATTTCTCGGCAGTCACTCAATATAGCCAATAATGATAACATAAATTCACTATGGCAATACATTCACTACGCCAGACACATCGCAGCCACTACTTCCCTAGCTTTCATCTCCACATAATAGGGGACTCTTAATTTTCGGTCTTCTGGGTGAATAAAGCCGCCATCAACTAATGTAAAGTCCAGCTTTCCACAGCTTGTCCTGAAACAGTTTGACGCTAGCGCCGCGTAGCTTTGGACTCTGTTGCCGAGATGTTGCCCACGCATGCCGAAACGCTATCCAAGCACATCGAAGTATCATCTCGACAACAAACTCCCAGCGCTTCACGGCTAGCATCAAACTATAGTCCAGGTCATTAAGCTTGTTGACGACTGTGCACTATCGGCGTCAAATGAAACCCGAACAGGGACAAGCCTTTGCGATAGTGTAGTGCGTGCCGTCCAGTTAATCACCACTGACAGGCGCGCGCATCCTAATCGGCAGCTTTGCGCATATATGCGTGCCTGTTCATATAGTGATAAGTGGGCGGCGTGCACCATACCATCGCGAAGGCCTGCCGCTGTTCGGGTTTCATTTGACGCTGATAGCATAGAGAAATATACTATATTAAGAGTGGCCACTGGAGCCTATTCGCGGGCCAGCAAGAAAGGGTCTGACCAGCCGATAGATGGCGTGCCATCCTTGCTTTTCCTCCTCTTTAAGACATGTAATAGCCTCTTCAGAAGGACAATTATTGCCCAAGTTTGGCATCAGTTTTTTTTTTTTTTTGTAAAGAAGAAATTTTATTAACTTTTGCGATTTTATATACCAGCTGTACATCGTGTCCCGCTGAGGACATTTATTGTATCACAACATAAAACAGTAAAGTATGACTGGAAAGTGTTGTCTTTCTGCATTTGTTTTGCACAAAGAGGCACATGCATGTGGTTTAGATGTGCTGTACATGCATTCCCTACGCGGTAGCATAAATGAGTAGCCTAGTGGTAAACAGACTCGCTTTCAGAGCATGAGGGTACGGGTTCAAGTTTCGGAAAGAAAAATAATTGTTTCATTTACGCTGAAGACATTATCGGGTCTGACAAGCCACTCGTGGCGCTGAAAGCAGCACAGTAGCTAAGCCGCAGGGCCCTACGGGAGTGTCCGCTCTTTATGCAAGTATATTTCTCCATGCTGATAGTACCTCGAGGCCCGTTAAGCGCGGATTATAAGCAGACGGCCACAATTCCTCGAACAATCATACCGCGGTATCGGGACGCAAAACAGCTACAAGTATTATATCAACAAATGTACTACGTGCGCCTGCACGAGGTCGGCAGTTCGTGTCCGCTTCTTAAGTATTACTTCCTCCGCGACGACGCTATTTCCAGACGATCAGACCAGCGCAGCTTTTCCTGTCGCCGCGGTTTTACCCGGTACGCGAGTTTATGCAGTCTTCACGCTGGATGCACAAAAGTATCAAAAGGCTGGGGCATACGCCGGGTGGCGCGACGTCCCGCGAACCCGCCGGTGCGCCCGTTTCCTCTACACGCGGAAACTGGCGTCGCGAATATATACACTTCAGCGAGCAGCGGCGGCGTCACGCTGGACGAGCCTATTAGTACTACGCGCGACGTTCATTTGTATTCGCGATGGCGAACACACGCACGCACAAGGAAATGTGAGATCACAGGGGCGACTTAATTAAAAAACGAGCAAGCAAGGAACAGAACTGTATACGTTTTCAAACACGCACAGTTCGTGGACAATATAAGAAGGAAGACAGAGTCGATGTTTAATCAACGATTACTTGTAATATCCCGACAAGAATGCGACGAATTTTATTTTGTAATGACGAATTTCACGTTTTACAACTGCGTTTAGTCGCTAAGACCTCTAAAACGTAACTTCAGCGTTCTCGGGGGTCGTAGCCAAGTGGTGGCACACGGGGACCGTGCCCCTCCCCATTTTTTTTTTTTGCCATAGCATAGAGAACGAAAAAATGACCATTTCAAAAAGGTTCCCCCACCGAAATCTAGGAGGTACCACTACGCCCCTGCGCGTCCTATTGCTCACGGCTATCTCCTTCGAAAATTTTTCGATAACGGAGCAAGAATTGCTGGACTTGCACGTGAAGGCATCTTTTGACATCCCGGGAAAACGGTGTAATAAGGGCGTCATTTACGCGGAGTTTCGTTTCTACCCTTTGGCAAACGGAGTAAAAAGGAACCTCAGCTCTACTTCATGTAAGCGCCTACCTTGAAATCTTTCGTAGACGGTTTAGCCAAGCTGATTTTTAAGCAGAAGAATCCTTTGACGTCCATGGAAAGGAAAGTGCAATAGCCTTATTTTAAAGCGGACGACTTGTCTGTGATCCTTAGCCAACGGTGTAAAAAGGGAGCTTTGCTGTTTCATGCATGCGCCTCTTTCAATTCCTCCACGAATGACATAAGGCTGATATGCTCACTTCTTAGCAGAAGACGCCCCTTGTATCCTACACAAACGGTGTAATAATGCCATTAAGAGAAAGTTCAAAACATATTTCTCGTTTTCAACCCTCAGCAAACAGTGTAAAAAAGGAGCTTAGCTCAGTTCCCTGCAGACGCACCCTTTGAAACCCTGCATAAACGGTGTAACCATGGGTGCTGAACTTTTAAGCAGAAGACTCCTTTAACATCATTGTGTAACGAAAACTCTAAGTTCATTGTGAAGCAGACGCTGCGTTTTAAACCATTTAAAAACGTTGTAAAAAGCTAGTTTAGCTGTTTCACGCAGACGCCTCCTTTGAAATAGTTCGCAGACGTGGTAGTACGGGTGCTAAGCTTTCAAGGCGACGCCTTCTTTGGAAATATATCGCAAACGGTGTAACAAGGACGCTGAGCCACAGCTAAGCACCATGCACAACCACTCCGTCTGATTGAAGTCCTTGGCAAGCGGAGTAGAAAGGGTGCTGAGCTTACACCGTTTCATCGGTGTCTTTAGCAGACGACGTTGACTGTCCAGCATGCATAATTTAACCCCAGGGTTATCGCGTTTACATCGCGATAATATAGCAAAGGCGGATTATTTCGAACTTATAAAAATACATAAATAGGATTTTTTTTTCTCTCACTGATCTCCAGGGTTTGCAATGTGACCTCGCCATTTGACCTATCCACAGGCGGTACACGCGATCTTTTACCTTGTCTTTTTTTTTCATTATTATTATCATGCCCTTCGTATCACCGTGCATATCAGAAAAAAAACCGTGGCCTCGGAGGCGTTTTTGAGTGACCTCGCAAGGCCTCGATAACAGCTAGTGTCTGGTCTTTTCGTGTCCCCTTGTCATTCGAGGCCTGTAAGCAATACTGGTGACACGCGATCCACGAACAGACTGCAACTATGCACTGACGCGTTCAGCATAAAAGCGCGGTCATTGAAAGTACGGGTCAATAAATGCCTTGTTTTTTTTTTACGGCACCAGAAAAGCGATCGCAACAAGATCTGTTCGTGGAAGAATGCGCAGCCTATCAAACGGTCGTAGTCTGTACTACTACAATCGGCGTCAGTACTTGAGGCCAGAAGCGAAGCCAGGAAATGGCACACCGTGCCCGTGCCCCCCCCCCCCCCCCCCGAAATTTGTTTTCACCATGGCACGGAGAGCGGTAAATGACCATTTTAAGGGTGACCTCCCGGAAATAATAGAGGCGCCTCTCACCCCGAAAAACATTTCTGGGTAGGACCCTGCCTGAGGCGCTATCTCAGAACATCCCAGTGCATCTGATTTAGTGGGCACGCACCGATACGACCGTGTGATCCAGCAAAACCGAGCATCCCACGCCGAAGCAGTTTTTACATAAAAAGTTAACGATACACTATGAGGGGCACCGTAGTGCATGAAGCTCCGGTAATCTGGTGATCTTTAGATGGCATCTAAATCCAAGTGCGCGTGCCTCAAGCATTTTCGCTTTGCATCGAAATGCGGCCGCGAGGTTCGATCCCACGACCTTCATGTCAGCCGTCGAGCACTGCAACCGCGATAGATCTACGACACAGAGACAAGAAGGACACGAAGTACACGAAGGTCCTTCTTGCCTCTGTGTCGTCGTTCTGTTTTCGCGCTGTAACTATCGTCATGTCGTACCAACTAGCCCAAGCTGCCACACGCGATAGATCGTCGTGGCTGGTTTCTTAATAGCAGTTCATCAACTGCATCGAACTAATTTCTACGTTTCCGGCGTAAAAACTGGCAGCGACGGCGGCTCACGGCGTAGTAAACGCAGTATAGCGGTGTAAAAGTCATTCCATAGAAGAATGAAACGCTCGTAAGCTACGTAGACGAGCTCGAAAATTGGCACTGAACGTGAGAACCTGCAGGCTCGAAGAGCGTTCGCACGTTCACTTTCCGTGAAGCGACACTTCCAAGGTTATAAGTGACGCACACAACGGAGAAACGGTAATTAGAACGACAACAAAAAAATGTGCACAGAGACGGTGCCGATGCGCTGAAACTTGAATCCGGCACCAGTAGTGATGCAGCAAAGGGAGGATTATTCGCGCGGAATAGATCGGTGCATCCAAACTTACCGGCCCACTCGCCCATCTTGCGAAAGTTAATGTTGTGTCCGAGCCACCGGGCCAGGTAGCAGGTGTAGAATCCCTGCCATAACACGTACAGGATGCGGCACAGGAGGTAGACGGCGAAAAAAAGTCCAAGGTACGCGAACACAGACACGGAGTACGTAACGCCGGGATCGGCGAGTGGACAGTGGCCTTCCGCAGCCATGGTCGTGTGTGCCGTCGACGAGACTCGACGCGGCAAGTGATGAACTGTTTCTTCAATTTAACACCGACTGAAAAGCAACGCTGCACCGAGACGACGGAATCTTGCCGGCGATCTGTTTGCAGCCCCCGTCTGTTTTCCTTTTTCTCCTCGGAGGAAAAAAAGAAAGCGAGGAGGAAGAGGATGGCGCGTTTATGAGAGAGGGGGCGGAGCCCTGTTGAACTTGACCTGAAAATGGCCGACGCCCGCTTGCGGCGATTTTCCTCATACCGTGCCACGGTGCAAACAGAGAAAAATAAAATGCTCCGCGAGCTCACGGTGCGGCGTTATGGTTGAATGAAGCTACGAGCTTCAACTGTACGATTTGCGAGCTTCGCGGGATTTCGGATCGGCGATTTCTTTCGCGTGAAGTGCGACACGAAAAACGTTTTAGAAACTTCACTTGCGTGCGACGATCAAGTGTTTTTCCGTGAAGTATTTTATCTACGAAGCAAGAATATAGCGTGCCGGGAAGTAAAGTTGTCTATACTTCCTGTTTTGCTTTTGTTACTGAAAGAAACCTGCAAGTGGGTGCGTGTTATGATGCCAACTAAAGAAAACGAAACAGGAGAAAATGGCTCAAACATGGCGGTACTTAGCAAAACTCTGGTTAGCAAAATAGTTTTTCAAAAATGTTTCTTAACTACTAGTACAAAAAGCATGCTATGTCGTAATTTGTGCTTCTTAAAGGTTCCTAAAAAACGTCATAACTTTATACAAATTTATATAGTTTGACTAATGTTCTGTAGTCATATTCACACTCATGATCTGTAATCATTTTCAGACACCTTACACTGTGTCAATCTCTGAGGTTGTAATATTTTGAATCGCAGAAGCAAAAGTTACGTCATTATTGTCATGTTTTTGATTAGACAAAGTTTTGGATTTTACTGGCTGCGTTTACCAACAAGCCCGTCTTGCGCTACGTCTTCGTAAACGTCACTCGACTTGCAAACATGGCAACCATCGGACTGGTGAGTTTCTTGGTTGCGCCGGTTTGCGTTGCTCTACCGCGGCTACACCCCTCTTGGTCTTATTAGCGCCTCACTTAGAATTATTTCAGACACATGCGCTACCGACAGACGCGAAATAGCGATCGCTTTATTTCTAGATGTAGGAGTGACGGAGGAGTACACGTGGCGATGGTTTTGAGACACACGACTATCGAGTCAACCGGCATTTCGGTACCCGACAAAATTACCACGTGATAACAGTATTACAGTGCCACCGACGACGAAAGATGCGCTCACGAGTCATTCTCAATACTAACTAGTTTGAATAGAGCAGTAGTTTTGCCAAAAAATGCTGCGTCGAGTGCTTTCTCGCTATCTGCGCTGAAACTTGAGAAACCGCTGCCACGTAGCGTCGGCATTTCGGCTCGTCTCTCGAGCACAGTGGTTATTGTTCGCTTACAAATTCGCAGACTTGTTTGTAACTATAGGTCTAGCTTTCTTGCGCTCATGACTCGTCGGTGCGAATCGTTGGATTTGCATAAATATCAATGAAAAGCTAGATAACTCGTGGTCGCGGTGTTGGTGCGGAGTTTCAGGAATAGCCATGGACCGCCAAATCAAACTGACATCAGGGTCATGGGAGTGGATAATCCCGAATGTTCCTTCGTTGAAAAAGTGCTTGAACTTTGAACAAAGGCTTTCTTATTTCGGTTTAAGCTGTGCGAACTACCTCTTCAGTGGAGTGCAGAATTAATGCTAACCTAAATGCAAAGGCTACAAGACGTGAGGTTGCTGTTAACAACCTGGTTAGACGCTACCCTAATAAATAAATCCTTAATTAAAGTTTAATTCAGATTAATTGCAGACAGACATATCAATATATCATGATCTTGTTTTTGTTGCAACATAATATTAAGCACTTTGAAATAATTTTGTGTGAATGTGGCTTATGTATAAACACTTTGTAAGTCACGCTTGCAAGGGTTTAACAGATCTCGGAGGCGTTCACATATTGTTAAATATACAAAGACTCGGCAGTGAGCATAATCACCTCTACATCAAAGCGTAGAATAATCTGTTTTGCCTGCAAAGTGTGACGTACAAGGGATGTCAGGCAAGGAAAGCTAGATTCATTTCTAGCCCAAGTTGATCTACGAGAAAATAAAAGTATATATTCATATCGCCATCAGGCTTCGTGGCAAATTTCTTTTTCCCGCACAAATTATGGAAAACAGCGCCTTTGTCATGCACTGCCTTTCCTAAATAACCATTTCAACAAACAAAATGTTGATGTTCTAACACTAAGCAAGGCTAAAACGCTAGACCTATTCTTATAGCAGGTTATCAACAAAACAACGTAAAACAAAAACATATATAAAATAAATCTCAGTGACTTTTGATTGTGTGCTTCTGTTACTGAACTTTCCGTGTTATATAAATTGTCTTTCAGTTTTACTCTGCAGTGTCTATATGCTTGTTATTGAATTTATTCATTACATTTTTATTCCTGTGGTATTCATATACGAATGAACTATGTACTATTCTACTCCACTATGCTGTACGTGTAACATATTTTTTTTAATGTTGTGCTAAAACAACTTAACCATAGGTCTGCCTGGGGACCGTAACTTTGTCAAGCTGATGAATGTTCGGCTTTTTCTCCAGTCCTACCTTTTTCACCTTCTGTTTAAAAGGGTGAAATCAAAAGATTTTGATTGATTGATTTTCCAGTTGGGCATCGAGCACATGTACAAGTATGTCAGCCCGGTCAATCCGGCTGTCTACCCGCACCTCACGCTGGTGCTCATGGGCATTGGCCTGTTCTTCATGGCCTGGTTCTTCGTGTATCCTTTGTATGTTCCTACATGACATACGTGAGCTCAAAGTGTCCAAAACTAATATTTGAAAGTTCCCTCCTATCTTTTATGTGGATATATATGCGTGTTACGCATCAAGATAGCCATGTTATTAAAGGGGCCCTGCAACACTTTTTCAAGTAGCTGTAGAAGGTATGCACTGAGCCTTGATCCGCAAGGGGGCAGCACTATCGCCGTGCCCTTTTGAAAGTTCAATACTACGCTTGTCCAGATGTCCGTGCAGAGGTCACTAGACATACAAGTTGCCATATGGATCTTAGATACAGCACGTGCAGGGAGTTCTCCGCCCATGTGGAGAGCGCGCGGACCGCCAAAGTGGCGACCTTGACGCTACCGATCTTCGCCGATTACATTACGTGCGTACCTGATGGAGAAGGGTTTTACCCTTGTCCATCAGAACTTCTGGGGGAGGGGGGCAGCTAAGGCACCCTTTTGGCTACAGACCCGGTCCTGCAGTGGGGCGTAAAATATCCTGAAAGTGATTCTTTCTTTGTGTGTGCCATAAAAGCAGATGCATAATTACAGCATTTTAGTTGCACAACGTAATGGAATAATGTATATATTTGTAGAACCCTGTATATGTTTTGCCTAATGATGTATAGTATATGTAATCTTTTGTATGTGTTTTTTATTATCTGTCACTGATGTTTGAGTTATGTGTCTCTGGGAAGGGATGTGACACTCAGTGAGGCACTCGTGCCTTTTTGTCACACCTCCTAGGCAGGACAAATGGACACATTATTTGTCGTTGTCTGAAATAAATAAATAAAAATAAACCTTCTATACAAGGGATTCACTAAAGGAGCTTATTGCGTCATGAATTCATTACATCAGAATATTTCATTATCTGTCCAGTATGAGCAGTGCTCCAAAGATTTGTCACACACTGCGATTGCACTCTATTTTTTTTTTCCTTTTTTCATCACTTTTTCTCTCTTTTTTTGTTCTTTCTTCGAATGCACTGCTTTTCAGTACAACCATCCGAAAACGCGTATAAGCCACAGCCTCTCGTGACAGTCCCAGTAACGGCCGAGTGTACCATGCTCAATTCAGCCAATGGCTGACATTTGGCTTGTGATGCAGTGATTTTGGAGTCTGTAGCGTCATTTGTCGAAAAAGAGAAAGCAATATTTAGCTGACTTTGAGAATTTTTTGTGAATTCTAGGCCATGTGCTACACTATAATAGTTGGCTCGCGTGTTCTCAGGAGCCTTGACTTTTGATCGGCAGCGTTTTCTGACTGTGTTCGAAAGTGTTGCAGGGCCTCTTCAAGAGATGAGAAGAGAGCAGAGTGAATTAGCGAGAAAAAATGGGTGGTCGAAATTTTAGCTAGAATTAAGAGAAAACAAAAGTGAACCTGGGATGATCACATGAGGCAGAGGACTGATGATCGTCATTCGGAAATACCAAGATTCTGGTGAAGTAGCCAGGGAGAATCAAAATTGTATGGTTCGATGGAATTAAGAAGTTCGCAGGCATAAAACTGAATCAGATAGAACAAATTTGGAAATCATTGGGAGAGACGTTTGTCTTGCACGGGCCTGTAGCCACGAATTTCCTTTTTTTTTTTGGGGGGGGGGGGGGGGGAGATTTGTCGAATGCCTTGAAAAATGCCTATTTATTTTATTACTTGTCCTCGGTAAAGCACCCTTCTCCATCGGAATTTCTGGGGCGGAGGGGGGGGGTCTAAGGCACCTTTTTGGCTACAGACCTGGTCCTGCAGCTGGGCATAAAATATGCTGAAAATGACTCTTTCTTTGTGTGTGCCATAAAAGCACATGCATAATTGCAGCATTTTAGTTACACAAAGTAATTGTCATTGTTAAATAAACTTGCAAGTTACAGTAGTATCAGTCTCTTGCTCACAAAAAGCTGCAGAAGTGTCAGCAAAAAAAAATTGAGCAACAAGATGTGTAATTTGATGTATAAATTTAAATTGCGAGTGGTCTTTGGCAACTTCAACCAGTTTTATCAAAAAAATGTGCTGTTTTGATAGGTTAACAAAAATAGAAATCAGTCTGACCCAGTTATAACGTTACTGGTTTTAACAATATATCAGTTTTAAAAATGAAAACCTGCTGCATTATCAACTTTTGTATGTTTATTGTGGCAAAATAACCGTCTCTAAGTGACAAATAACCGACTCCCTTTGGATTTACAATATGCTTCACTGCATAGCGATTCGGCTGTGCGGAAAAACTAACTTTTGAACTTCACTACGGTGCGGGAGCGTTGGTGGCATTTTCAGGCATATAATCGTTCTGTATTCCTTGACATTGATGTCCAGCTATGAGGTCACCTCGACAAAGTTCACGCGAGACCTCTTCAAGGAACTCATCATCTCTCTAGTCGCCGCAGTGTTCCTGGGCTTTGGCATCCTCTTTCTGCTTCTCTGGGTCGGCATATACGTCTAGCAACGTAGCAACACGTGATGCCGTTGGGGGGTAAGAGAAAAACACGCCGTTCACCACTGTCACTGATGTCACTCAGATTGATTCATGTCTGTTAATCGGCAGTACTGGTGACACTAAATTAAATATCTTAGAATTATGATTTTTGATGAGTTGTTTTCAGCTTAGGTCGTTTCAAAGCTTGGAAAAGCCGTGCTATATCACAATAATACCTACAGGGAAATGTGGTGCCACTGTCACTGCAAATTTTATGAGGGGTGCCGTTTCCGTGATGGAAATGGCGTGATATACGTGTCTGCTAGGCTTGTGTTGGCGGTTGTTGAGTGAGGCTTCGGCTAAAAAGCAGATACGAATGCACTACTAAAGGTTTTTCTAAAACAAAAGCTTAATAAACGGATCCTGATAAACAGTTTTACACTTTCAAAACGAAATTTCACTCCTGCAGGGTATAGGCAAATGGTGAATGAAAGAAGCCTACAACAAACTATGGTCGTCTGTATTGCAACTTTAGTGGCCATTTGCTGTGTTTTAGGTTTCATAAAACTGCATGTCAAAGCAGAAGTAATCAAATTTATATAGAACTTCATGTAATGCAAAGCAAAAATAGTTCATTTCAGACTTCTTTAATGCAAAATTAAAGCAGAGAATGCCATTCCGAGGCCGACATATAGCAGCATTCCCATGCATGCAATGCGTCGCAGTGAGAGTTTTCCCTCTCTGTAATAGTAGAAAAGTCTACGACACAAATACGGGGTGTTTGATGCATTTACCTCAGATGACCTGAAGGTAAAAGTTGTAAGCAAGGTATAATCCGCTTTGTCTTCTTCGCTTCGCGCTTTCATGAGACAAAGCGAAAGTTACGCCAAAGTATATTTTTAAATCTGGTGCGCATCGCAAAGGCAGAACGAACGAAATGCCATCCACGTTGCCATCGTCATCATTGCGAACTTGGTAACAACGGAAAAGCCAGATCGCTTCATGCCCACTTGCACGTGGCACTTTCTTGACTGCGGGCGTTCAGAAAGATGTTGCCATCCACAATCTCGCTCTAGGCAACCGAGGCTTCAGCAGTTGCAGCAAATGTTTTTCGTCTTGCCGTGAAAAAGTATCGTCACGTGCTTAGCACGATGATGGTATTTGATAAGGTGGGGTTGCAGCGTACATTTTCGTTCAATTGAGACATAAGGGTCTTGTACAATGGTGGCATTTTGAAAGAAGTCTCAGGGTGACAATAATTGCGACTTTTATGTTTCTCTTACACAATTACAGCAGCTACGTATTCATAAAAAGTGAAAGTGTGATTTAGTAGAAATTTCTGCATTGTTTTCTTAATTCCTTCAAGATGTATTTCAATTAACTTGCACGTTTTTTCCGATCCAGTGCGATTTGAATCAACAAGCTCTTACTCTATAATCGTAGTGGCTGTCGTGCCATGGTAGACTAGTGGCATGGGTGTTAATATGCAAGCTAGATGATGTCGGCTCGATACCTGGACGCTGTAGCTGCACTTTAGTGTGGTTTAAAACTGAAGACGCCCACTTGCTTGCTTTGCCGCGGTGATCTAGTGCCTAAGGTACTCTGCTGCTGACCTGCAGGTCATGGGATCAAATCCCGGCTGCGGGGGCTGCATTTTCGATGGAGGTGAAAATGCTGTAGGCCCGTGTGCTCGGATTTGGGTGCACGTTAAAGAACCTCAGGTGGTCAAAATTTCCAGAGCCCTCCACTACGGCGTCTCTCATAATCATATAATGGTTTTGGGATCATTGGCCCACTTGCTTTTGTTTAAGTGCACTTTAAATATAAGAGCAAATTGAAAATAATTCCCAGTCCTCCACTTCTGCTTGCCTCATAATTAGGTACGGTTTTCATAAATACAACTGCACAATTTAATGTATAGGTCCTCTGGCATGACAGTTCCATTGGTTTGGTATGGTCCACCATGCAAATGTCACTACCACGGAAATCAGCATTATTTTTAGTAATAGTGCCACTTGTGGTGCAAACTCTCATGTTTTGGAAGCAATTTATGCAAATGAAGTGCAAATTTATGAAAATGAAACTCAACCGGTGTACCGGTATGCAAAATATCAGTAGTATGCATTGGTCACTGGTACACAGGGAACAATATTGTGCATGCATTGCTTTTGTTTATACAGTATTTCATAGGCAAACATGAATGGGTACCCATCATGTTAAATGAAAGAGTTTTAGCCTATTGTCTCTTGCCAGGTGTGGCAAGAGGATATCGCATCTTCGCACTCAACATCAAACTGCACACGTTAATTAACACTTGCGGTGGTTCACGTCAGCTATATGATATTGTGGTTCGTACTTTCGCTATCAAGTGCTATTGCATAATAATTATATGTGAATTTCTTTACTTACCAGAGAATCGCAGTAGACACATTGCCACCCAAAACAATATGATAGTTCTGTTTTGTTGATATTAGTGACTGTCCTTGCTGAGAGTTTTGCTTATTGTCTTTACAGAGTTCTTACAGCCTGTATTTTTCTGTACTGTCTGCACTTTTATGTGTTGCAGGGGCTACCTCTTTTGGGTCCTGTTGGAATGAATGGATGGCATTGGTTACTCACCTTGTACTTCAAAAAGCATCTCATCGTTGTTTCTCTCTTTTTTATTCTTTCAAATTGTTGTACATTCCTTGTGAATTAAAGTAAATGAAGTCTGTTTTCAATTATACAGAGTGCATTGCCTGATTACAAATGCTCCTGGCTAGTTCGGATAAGCCTTCGTTCTTCCTTTCTTTGCCATTGAATAAATCGGTTTCATATTTACAAGTTTAGTGTGATCTGACTGATTTCTACTTTTGTTAAGACTTTATTCTTTGCTTTTCTTCCATTAAATAACGTAGTTTCATACCCACAAATTTAGTGTAAGCTGGCTCGTGTGTTTGACTCAAGTTCATTGGGATTTTGACGCTAAAGCGTGCTGGTCGTGTTGCCCATCTTCTGAGGGTTCATGTGGCAAACTGTTAGTGAGGCTTGCTAGTAAAATTAATTATTCACATCCTTAAGTGTAAATATAATTATAGTGTTCTCGTGCGACAGAAAAGCTTTCGTAAGTAAGAATGCTGGTTGCTCAAAGCACCAAATAAAATATTGGAATACTAATGCATTCTTTGAGGGGCACTGGTTACAAACTGGAGGAGCTGCAAAAAGCGAGGTAGTTGATACATCTTTAAACTTGAAAAACGTCTCGAAAATGAGACTGAGAAAGGCGATATGTTGGATGGGTGCAGTGGTTACTTGACTGTATTACATAGTCATTTTAATTGCTATTAAGCCAGGTGTGTATTGAACTGCTCAATTGCAATTGGTTCATGTGCATGAGCTGCATAGTGGGTCCAATCAAGTGTGATGAATTTGATCACTGTGAGAAGTGCGCGTGTTGACTCATGTTCAGGTGTTTTGTGATGTTAACAAAGGGACAATAAAAAGAACAGATTTTTCTAATATTATTAATTTACTCTCAGAATTGCAAAATCGCCTCGCATGCCGCGAGCAAACTTGGTTATCAGGAAAACGCGGGCGGTAACGCCACCTTGAATGGATGGATGGATGTAAAAACTTTATTTCGTCAGAAAGCAACTGAGGATGATTCCGTGTTAGATGGCCATCAACTCAAGGTTGGTGGCGACCTGTGTGGCCCACTCCGCGACCCTTAACTGTACGACTGGGTCTGAGCTGGTCAACACGCCACCTTGAAAATATCGCACCGAGTGCTGTGACGTCACAGATTCTAACAACGTCTACTATGCCCTACGCACCTACTAATCGCTAAAAATGAAGCGCATTGCCCTCTGATATAGTCATAAACTAAATATGTGAAGTTTCACAAAATTTCTTTGAGCCAATGTCGCTGAAATACAAAAAAAATGAAGATTGAGACTTCGACCTTATTTTTATGACGTAATAATAAGCGTAAGGTGGTGAAATCAGCGATATAAGACTTCTAAGAGCACATGTCAATACAAACCTATTGCACGCTTAACTTTAATGTCCCTAGAAATTCACGCTGTGAAGGGGTAGTGATGGCGCTAGCTGTTATCCCAACTTGGGCAACAACTTACGTCACTCTGACGTGTAACATACGTCTATCTGTTCGTTTTATGGCGGGAGCGTCTGTGGCAGAAAATCATGGCGGACGACGGAAAGACTTCGGAAAGCGCGCCGTCGACGTCGATTGACTTGCAGGACGAGAACAGCGTGACTCTGCAGGACGTCCTCGACGAAGAGCAGGAGCTCGAGGACGACGCCGACGCCGTTTTGGGTGGCAGTGACGACAAGAACTGCACGTACGACCAGGTAAAAAAAGAAGCTCGCCGTAGGCCTAGGTCGCGCATCTGTGAATGGCCTCGGAAGGCGACGTTCGAGCGAAACTACGTCTTTCGTACGTGTTTCTCAATGTACCAAACTGTTTGCACTTGACGACCGGCACCGCGCAGTCACTCTAGACGTTTGTGTATGCCCAAGCATCTGGTTGACGGCGATTGTCGGTTTTCGCGACTTACGGGCGAAGCAGTTCGCATGAATGGCCGATTGCTGCGCTCTGGCAAATGTCGTCGTTGTGTAGCATTGAAGCGATAGTTTATTCGCCGATGGCTACTGCTACTCGGTAATGAGCAGTTAAGCTCGAAAGTAGCTCGGAACACTGGTCCTAGGTTAGTGCGCTGTTATTTATCCGCTGCTGTTGTCGTGACGCAGCGAAATGTGGTGTTTTTCCATTGGCCTTGGTCGCTAGATTTGCCGCGTGAGCTGCGGAAACTTCATTCGGTTTGACTGTCTATACACTTATGTCAGGCTGAGGATGTTAAAGAAAGAGGTTTTTGTTTTTGGTCACTGAAGTTTCGAGTATGTTAACGAAATCATTTGTTCCGAAAGCTTTGTGTGTGCGCGCGCGCCTGTGTACTTACATGAGTATTCTAATTTTTTTTGTATTTTGTGAACAGTTGTGTATTTGTATCTTCGGTTTCCTTTCAGTGTCACTTCATCAGTACGAGCAGCCTTTGCTGTACAGTTCGTCCTTCATAAGTTACGTTACGTGAAACGCAAACCGAAATAAGCCCTGTGCATACTGGCCCTTAGCGCGGGTTGTGGAAGCGATGCTTGCAGCGGTGTTTTAGTTTTAATCTAAAACACGAGAGTTCTCCTTGTCTAGAAAGTGGCGCCTTGCGTATTTTTTTTTCCCTTTTACCTCGAGCTACTTGAATACACACCTGTTTGATTTCCTTGTCTTTATGTACAGTCGCTCTGAGCTTCGAGCTGTAACAGGGCGCCTATAATCGACGGGCTCTCAGGTCTGTACGGTGACAACAGAAAACGTTAAAATTGGCCTCCAGAATTCCAGTAATCCAACCAAGCATTATGCTGCCATCCACTTTTTCTCTTTATTTGTGTCAGCGTTGCCGTGACACTTGTTGCAGCTCTTATCGATGCTTCCCCAGCTGCGGTCTTTGCACGCTTGCAAGTGACAGATGGAGCAGTCAAATGAATGATACTGATTACCTGCAATTTCTCCTTAGAAGTAGGGTGGTACCACATGCTCACTGATTCAAGTTTATAAGCAGTCTAAATGTCACTAAAGTGACTGGCTTCTCGCTTATTCAGCTGCCTGTCATGACTATGTAGGACTACCGTCCTATAGCTTTGTACGTCTGTGAGGAAAAGTATGTGGACCATAGGAATTTGAGCTGCAATTCCTGTCTGTGCCATCTAGTGGGGAGCAGTCTGTAGTCGAAAGCATACTGGTGGGTGCGGAATCGCAGCAGCTATGCTCTCCCAATAGCCGGCAGCTTGCCACAAGCAGCGCAGGTTTCACATTCAGCATGCGCTCCTGTGGTCTGTATAGTTTTGCTCACAAATGCACATGCTCCATATTAGCTATCACTTTGCCGGGTATCTGCATTAGTCATCATTGCTCATCAATCTTACAAACACCCCTAGCTTATGCTTGCTGCATGAGTGATTACTTCCCCGTAACTGCATTTGAAAGGACACTAAAGAGGAACATTGACTTGGTTTAGATTGACAAACTGCACTCTAAGAATTCTAATGCTATATCTTTGACAATCATAAGTTCAATATCAGTGGAGCGCCCCGCCGCAGTTGTCTAGCGGCCAAGGTACTCGGCTGTGGCGGCTGAATGTCCCATGGAGGCCCAAATGATGTAGGCCCGTGTGCTCAGATTTGGGTTCACGTTAAAGAACTCCAGGTGGTCAAAATTTCTGGAGCCTTCCACTATGGCGTCTCTCATATACATATGGTGGTTTTGGGATGTTAAACCCCACATATCAATCAATATCGGGGGGAAAGTCAAGGTTGAGTTCTCTTTTTTAAGTTTAGCTCTAAAATCTCCATGCGCGATGCAAGAAATTTCAAAATGTATTTTCGGTATTTTCATGGCATTGGCTCAATAAAGCTTGCTTGAACTTCGTATGCTAAGTCTGTGGCACCCAAAGATTACAATGTACTTTATTTTCAGCGATCAGAAGCCGTGTGGGACCCAGTGGCTTCAAAAATTTTTATGTCCCAGTGTTTGGTGCGGGAATGTGGTTGGCAGTGATGTATTGATTTCATTGCATGATTGCAAGTATTACATTGATACACATTGTTGTTTGACCTACGGTGAAATTGCCCCGGGACATCAGTCTACGCTACTCAAGAATAAAAACGCAGACGTTTCAAAAGTGTTTTAGGGCCCCTTTAAATCTGAAAGTCACACCTTCAAGTAAAAAATGCGTCATTCATTTTGTAACCCAGCCGATGAATGGGTTTACTTATGTAACTTTGTTGTCATCAGTCTTTGTATTTCCATGTTTGTATATTCTGAAAATATTGTATAGATTAACCACTTATTTCTTTTTCATTCAGAACTCACCATGTAATGCCTTTGGTTGTTTAATTTGTAAATGTAAATTAATAGGCTATATTCCGGCATTATAACAAGAGTAATTGTCTCCTAAGCAGTCAAGTGCACGTGATCTTAGATTAATGTAATCTTCTTAGTCTATTTCATAAAGAACTAAGGGTGAGCAAATATCTGATACTTTCAAGTATGCTGAATACTCTATTAAAGCCTTGATGGCTTGAAAAATCTTTGTATGAAGTCTCTATAAGCCGCTAAACTGATGTTTTTGCTTAAGTAAAGCATTAGAGCATTGATAGCTTCCTTTGAGTCATTGGGATTTCGCATGCATGTCAGCTGTCCTGCCGACAATAATGGCATGCCTCCACATCCTTAAATAAGTGATTACGATTGAAAGCTTGTCACGAAAATCTGCCCCATGTTGATCAGCCTTGATGCTTTTTTTATTGTCTTTTTTCATCTCCGTTACAGTATGCCTGAAATATCATTACTACATGTGTCTGACAGGGCTACGTCAAGCGGCAGGCCCTGTATGCATGCAACACGTGCACTGGACCGGATTCCCAGCCAGCCGGTGTGTGCCTTGCCTGCAGCTATGCGTGCCACGAGGGGCACAATCTTTATGAGCTCTACACCAAGAGGTGGGCTTCGCTATGCACACTTACTGCATGGTTGTTGACAGCATAGCAGGGGACTGGAACTGGGATGGTAGCGATTACAGCGTAGACTGTCTGTCTCAGGCACACTTAACTGTGATTCACTGTTTCTTTTGCATCATAAAATGATTGCTAGGCTATTTTACCAATCGTGTACGCATATCTACGTTGCTGTGTTTGTTATTTTGCTTCTGCTGTATTCGATCATCACCTACAAAGACTGTAAGCAATGTTCAGTGCAGGCCATGCCTGCAGTGTTTCAGAAGCTTCAGGACTGTTGTAGATCATTTCGTTAATACCGCGCATGATGCAAACACTTGAGCTTATTCCAGAACTTGGGCAACCGCCAGTGATATGGCTGGATAGTTTGACGGGTAATGTATAAAAGGCAGTGCGTTTCAACGACGATCAGTTTATTGAGAGCCGATGCTCTCTCTGCCGCTATCAGTGCCGGCTTGTGTCACTGTCATCTCACTTTCCGTTCACCGACCACAAGTTTGGCCAAATAAACGGTTTCGTCTTGCAGTTTGCTGCCTTCGTCAACGTCACAATCATAGGACAATACAGTTCATTTCATGTGGTGTATTTCGTGTTGGTTCTCTTTTGCATCTGTATTTATTTGCATCTCAACAGTAACAGTACTGCAGCTGACAGTGTTATAGGCATTAACCTGTTCTCTTAGTATTAGCTTAACGTTCTCTCTGCCAATCCTGAGAACACTCGGGTGACGACACACACGCAATCCTTACCCATTCAGAGTACACTTGTTTAGCCTTTTTATATCACTGTCTGCTACTAGCAAAAATATATATATTTAATAGATAATCAGTGGCTTAGCCACTCTGAATTGATGGCTAATTATACGGTTTAATTATTTGTCAGTGAATTTTATTCGATGAGACAATGGCCAGTATAAATGTTTATGTGCTTTGAAAAGTGTCCTACTGCATTGCTAATAGAAAATTTCTGTGTAACATGAAAAAAAAAAAAAGAAGGCCGGCAGGGTGTTTGGAACAGTTCCAATAAAACCTGGCGGTGAAAGAGACTCGAGGTGAATAAAAAAAAAGGATGACAAAAAAAAGAACACCCCCTGTTTGCAATTTTGTGCTCAAAAAGTTTTCATGCCAGGGTGCGTTGTTACCTTGGATGACATGGCAGCTCTAGTCATGAAGTTTGTAACCTGCTTTATGACTGGGTAGGTAAGGGCTGCTGAAAGATTGTTCACTCGGTTTCAGGAACTTTCGATGCGACTGCGGGAATGCATCCTTTCCCGAGAGTAATCCATGCCGCCTGTGCCCGGTAAGTGTCCAACATCTTCAACTGCCACCGTAGAGATTCTTGAAAAAGTATATAAAAGCCAGTGAGAGTCGCTACCGGGACTGTTAGATGCCATGGCACTCAAACCTCGATATAACGAATTATCAGTTATGACAAAGTAAATTATGAATAACTTTATCATAAATACAGTGCTACGTATGTCTTTATAACGAATTTTCATATATAAAGAAGTATTTTTGATGCAGGTGTTACTTAGTTATAGTGAGGTTTGAGTGTAGATGCAACATAGCATCTAACATCCGTAGCCATTGTACCTATGGATTCAGACATTCAAGTGGCATTACTTTTGTTCAAGAGAATTGATAGCTAGGCTAGCTCGTGGAAATGCGTGATTTAACTGATATAAGCACACACCAAGGCACGCATAGTTGCTTCTATTTACACCGATACGTCATTATAACATAGTTGCATCTTACACAAAAATAAGTTTGTTATATCTGAAAATTTGTTATAAAGGTATATTCCTAACACTGTTGCAAGACTGTTTTTCATATATCTTGTTATAACTGATATTTTATTATATCTGTGTTCATTATATCGAGGTTTGAGTGATAGTCGAACACCTTTATAAGAGACACTGACGTAAGAGACAAACTCCTTTATAAGAGACAAATGGGTATAAGAGACACCAGTGTGCCTACAGTAAGATACGGGGAATAGGAAAATGCATACAAAGTCCCCTACTTATATGAGACATCTTGTGTAGAAGACAAGAATCGCTCCAGAGCATGCCTCTTATAACAGGGTTTAACTGTATATGCTTTCTTGTTCGAGAAGTTTTTTTCAGTTGTGAGTAAGCACTTGTCCTCTTGTGCTTCCTTTTTGTCTTTGTTGCTGTGCGCTTAGATAAATTAGTAAATCGTGCATTTAGCACGTTCTACCTCTGTGAATTTCCCATCGTCGACATTTTCATGAGCACTCGGTGGCGTCAAGTTCGTGCAGCAGTGCTCGGCTGCTGATCCAAAAGTCGCGGGTTCGACCTCAGCCTCGGGGCTCGCATTTTAATGCAGGCCGAATCGCAAACACCCGTGCACTGTGATGTCAGTGCACGTCAAAGAACACCAAGTCGACTCTCGTTAATTCAAACTTGAAGAGACCTCTGAATGTTGTTTGAATTATCCAAAGTTCTCGTATGTATGACTCGGGGCAAAGTGACATATTGATTTTATTACATTTAAAAATTTTTTAAGCGTTTTCAAACCATGAGTGCACCCAATGAACAAAATGCAGAGGTGTAATATACATAAGTTCTATGGCCATTCACTGCTGATCAGACCTTTTCAGGAAACCGTGAATTGCCAACTGCTTCTTTTCTATATCTGCCTTCAGCACAAAGCTCTCTATACCATTTGATAAGCATCACGGTATACTGTACATGTGCTTCATTTAAAACATTTGTTTACTAGCAAAGCCTTTTTCCTCGAAGGCCTCAGGCGCTTGTTTGTCACTTTTAGACTGTTTGGATTTTACAAGCACACAAATTTTTAAATAGTGAGAAAGCAGTAGATATTTTCCAGTATGATACCACAAAAAGTGAATTAACCAGATGGCGAATTTGAATTAAGAGGATTTTAAATACATCAAAAGAATAGAGGGCCAATGAAAAAGTTGAATTTTGTTTGTATTAACCGAAAGTACGAATTATCAGAGTTTGAATTGTTGTGGGTCTACTGTAGATAGTCGAAATTTCCAGAGCCTGCCACTACGACATCTCTCGTAATCATATTGTGGTTTTGGGTTGTAAAATTCCAATAATTTTATTAATATTATTATTCTTATTCTTGCTATGTTGTTAACTTGCCCCATAAACGTATTAAATCATTATGGGTAAACCAACATTGCAGTTTTACTTTTGCCACAACACACACACAAAACAAAACGGCTACTGAAAACTTTTGTGTCGGTACCCCTTGAATGTGAATCTCTTTTGCAGAGGAAGGCTGTTCGGAATTATGAAAACAAGTACAACCACAACTTTCACGGCATGTACTGCACGTGCAAGCGACCATACCCGGACCCCGATGATGATGTACGTGCCTTGCGATTTAATTGTTTATTTAGTGTGTAGTCTCATTTTAACGGCTTCCTTTTCGACGTGTGGAGAGATTGTGGTGTGGCAGACGTGTCCCGGTATCCACTGCACTTAAATGGACGTGCATTTAGTACCAAAGGTTATCTCTGAACTGTTGAAAATGTCGAGTGGACTTCAGTGTAATTTAACTTACACAAATCTTACTGTAACAGACTAGGCTTATAAAAGTGTTCGATCGCTTTAGAGGGACGCTAAAATTAATGTGCTCTGAAAACTCTAATGCCGTAAGTTTTATTATTATTATTTTTTCTTTTTAGAGACGAAAATCTTGGTTAAAGATTCATCTTTGAATTTCACCGAGGAAGTTTCTGTATGTTCTGTCACGGATTTCAAAATGATGAAATATCCTGAAACTTCGTACATTAGGTCCCCACAGACGGCAGTGTTTTTCTGTCTCGCCGAGTAGGAACAACATAGGTCCTAGTAAACGCCGTCAAAATTTTCTATGTCGTGGTGTTTGGTGTGTGAATCTCAAGGTGAAGTCTCCACTCGCGTTTCATTTTCATTCATCCACCTTTTATTTTTGTGCTACGAGGATCATTTGTAATAACCGGGTTGCAATTAATACAAGTGAATCATGAAGCGTTTCATGCCATGAAACAGTGCATATGCTGGCCGAAACCAGAGAACACTTCCGAATGTTCCAGTTAACTAACAAGTGTGGAACTAACAAGCTTTTACTGTAGTAACCATTCACTTCGTTACAAAGAATTGGTGTTTGCTGAAGCCTAGTTTTTAAGTAATGGCTCTTTGTGAATAATGTTGTGTGCTTTCCACTCGTATCTCTCTCTCTCTTTTCTTTTTGATATTGTTGTTTTAGGTGGAAGACGAAATGCTGCAGTGCATCATGTGCGAGGACTGGTACCACGGACGGGTAGGTGTTGCCCTTTTAAGCAGTGGAATGCACTGCTCCTCCAGGTTGCACAGTCTGTTACCCCTTGTCAGTGCGGTGTTCAATTGCATTGAATGGGTTATTTAGATAAGTAATTTAAGTACCGTGACCAATACAGAGTATTTTAAAAAAATTGGCAAGTTGCAAAACTACCAGAAACGTAATTGAGCACAGGCACTTTTCATGTGCAGTTATGTGCAGATCTGCCCGAGTGCCGTGGTTTCCTGTAAGTTCAGAGAGAAAAGTCGCTCATAAAGAGAATTGAATTACAGTGAGCAATAGCAAGTTAATAAATTAATTGAATAATTAAAGGGCCATTAGAAATGTAATACATTACATGCACTGAATATTTACATCTATTCTGTGTCCTACAGACCTATTTAGGTGCCATAATTGCTTTCATGACAGAAGTTCGGGGGAGGGTGGAGGCTTCAAATGGTGAAAAATCATTGAACGGGAAGTGTTGCCGGAGCTAACATTCCTGCAAGTCCACTTGTCTTAATTACCTGTAGCGATTCGGATGTGTAGTCACGATGCTGAAGAAATGTTTTCAAAAAACTGGCAAGCCGAACGCGATTGGCAGATTACAATTAATGGTGACACACTTTATGCATTTCACCGGGCCTGCCTTCTGGCTTTCCCTTCTTTCCCTACCAGCACATTGGTGGAGCCATGCCGGCAAACCGGGATTACTACGAGGTCGTGTGCACTGGATGCATGAGCAAGCATCCATTCCTGTGGCAGTACTTCGCACATGGTGAGTTTCTTTGCTTCTTTGGGTTGTTTAATCAGGCTGTGGTGTGTTAAGTCTGTGTCTCAACTTCTTGGATTTTCCATGGGCCGCACGATCGTGTAAAAGACACGGGGTAAGCCGAAAAAACAAACGCATCTTTTCGCAGCCCTGACAAGCATGGTGCTTGAGCACCTGTGAACTTTGCTCATAAGGGCCCAGTTGTCATCGCTGTCTTGTGCGCTGTTTCTGCATGCATCAGTGGATGGCTCCTGACCCCTTCTACATGTCATGCTCTCAATGCACAGAGATGGTGCAAAGACTGCAGCTCTTCCTGGAAGAACTCTATTCTTCTATACTGACGTTATGTAGAGATAGGCAAGATTGGATCCACAAGATCCAGCTGCGAGCCTTACTTTCTATAATATTACAATTCATTGCTTGCCCATGTGCTGAAACTAACTTTTCATTTTTTTTTCACAGAGGCAATTGATAGTTGCGTTTAGTTTATCTGGGTGAAGCCCCTTCTGTCTTTTAATGTTGTATCTTACTAGACAATCAATAATGCTTGCGTTGCAAAACAAATCAAAACATTGTGATGAGTGGTGCATACAATCGCCTCAAATAAACACGTGGTGCCATCTGGCCACTGATGATGATGTTGATTTTTTTCGCACTCTTTTCTGTCCTTATCTCTTCTACCATAATTACGCCGCAACTACTCGCAGTCCTGCGCTGTGCAAATATGGTGAAGGTGATATCAAGGTTGCTATGTGCCACTGTGGTGGCTCGGAAGTGCAGTCATTTTCTCAGGTGTCTTCTGAAATGATAAGCAGGTACTGATGGAAAATGTAACCCGGAGAACTGCAAATAACTGGAAACGTGAAACTGGCGTGTCTCGTTAGATTCAATTATCCTAGGTTTCTCTCTATTTCGTTCTTTTTTTTTTTGAACTTCTGTTTTTGAGGTTTGTCGTAGTTATTATACTTTGAATTGATAAGTTGCTATATGCTTATAACTTGTTATGACAAAGCTATACCTGCCACGATAAAACTTCATTATATCCTAAAATTTGTTATAAACGTATATTTGCAGCACTGCATGTGTGACAGATCTATTCTTCATTTACTTCGTTATAACAAATAATTACTTATATCTGTGTTCATGATATCAAGGTTTGAGTGTAGTTGCGTTCTCAATGGAAGGTGGTCATTGAGTGTAATGAAACGCCTGGCTCCCCCCTCCTGCAGAAATGGCGCTCTTGGAAGAGAAGGACGTCAACATTTGTGAGGAGGACACGGAGAAGCAGCACGCTGATGGAAGCCCCGCCGCTTCAACAACTACTGTGGAGAATGGAGTCAAGGTTGAAGGAGGTGCGTTAACGATGCACGTGAGCCTGCCTCGCCGTTTGTGAATGCTAATTTTCAGGTGCACCAAATGATTGGCAGCAGAGTTACCAGTTTCGCTTACAAGAAGCGAATCGGAGCTTCTTTTTTCGGCAAAACGCGTGTAGAATTTTTCAGTGGCGTTTTTTTTGGGGGGGGGGGGGGGGGCTTATTCGCATTTTTATGGCAAATAAATTTTTTTAGTGACCATCACGTTCATCAAAAGTTGCACTGGCAACTGTAGAGAAAATGTGCTGTAGATAGTTTTTAAGGTGAATATGCTCGAACGTCATTATATAAAAGTTGCATATTACCTGAAAATAAGTTGCAAGCTTGTCATAAGTAAAGGTATATTCGTAACATTGTATTTATTGCAAAACTATATTTCATTCACTTTGTTATAACCAGTATTTTGTTATATATCATGGTTTGAGGGTATGGGCTGTTATTCATAGGTGCATGTATTTTGGTTATGCAAAAATAGCTACTGTTTTGCAACTCTCCTGCGTATTTGAGTGACATTTTATTATGGCGGACCGTTAGAGCCACAGAGATGGGAGGGAAGGCCAAGGATGGCAGTGAGAATAATGGAGAGAGAAATTGGAAAGTTTGCTGCAATAAAATTTCTAGTCGTGCATGTTCGTCTTTTCAGAAACCTTGGTGTTTTCTCACTATCCCAAATTTTCTCAACTGCAGGAAACACGGAGAACGGCGTGGCTTCAGCTCGTGAGAACGGCACTGATGCCGTGGCAATCAAGGAGGAGGGCCATCCAAACCAACAGACTGCGGGATCAAGCGGTTCTTGCAGCGAGGTCAAGGTTGAAAAGATGGCCGGAGACGGTAGCCAGCTGTCTTCAGCGTCAGAATGCATCCTCAAAAAGCTGCGGAGCGTCGGCGACGACTCAAAGAAGCCTCACGACGCGTGCGCCTACTGGCCGCGAGGATGGCGGTCACGCCTATGCCACTGCATCCAGTGTTTGGTGAGTGCATTAATGTGAAAGCATTGCTTTTGCTGATCATTCATTTCCCACTGGACGCAGAACCAAAGATGGCTTTTTACCGTATTTTCGCAATTCTAAGCACCCCCTTCTCCCCGTTTTCCCTGGAAAGAATTGGGAAGAATAGTTTGCTGTTGAATCTAAGCGCCTTCTTTTTTTTTTCTTTTTTCCTCCTGCGAGCACAGTGCAGTCAATGCTGCCAAGCACACTTTCTCGCCACTAATCTCAGAAGCCACATTGTGTATTGCTAGGTTCTAACAAGAGATGGCGGCACAGAAGTTGGCGGTGCTTGGGATAGATTGCACTGGCATTGCGGGGTCACGGAGAGGTGTGTGTTTTTTTTGTCAGTTGTTTGATAGCCCTGAAAGTGGTCAGTACGAGTGCAAAGAGGGCTTTCTACAACTTGAGGTTCAGTCGAGCTGCAATTGCATTTGCAGAGGATAATGGAAACCTAAGTGCTGCAGCAGAATTCAGTGTGGACCAAGCTTGCATCATCAAGTGGAGGTAGCAGTGGGACCAGATTTTTTATGGCGCTGCACAACTCGTGAGAAGCTCATGGGTTCTGAAAAACCCAAGGGCCAACACACAGAACTTGGAAGTGGACGAGTTTGTTCGCCGCAAATGAAACAGTGGCTTCGCTGTCACTGCCGATGCCATGCAGACAAATGCAATGAAGATCACGAGAAGAACTAGTTTGGAAAGGTGGACAAACCTCCGCACTGCAATATACCCTACCCAGCTGGGGATTCTATGATCCCATGTTTTCTATTGTAATTTTTTTCCGAGCTTTTTGGCATCTTGATAGTGAAACTCTGGTTTGTAGTTTTAATTGATCGTATCTGTTGCATTTTCCATGATTCGTAGGCCATGTACAACGAGCAGAAGTGCCTGTTCCTGCTAGACGAAGAAGACACGGTCCAGTCGTACGAGGAGAAAGGGAAGGCCGCCCGTGCGCAGGTGCCCGAGGGTGACCCCCTCATGTCGGCCCTCGGATCGTTGGGACGGGTCCAGCAGATCGAAGCCATTCACGGTACGGAAGCAACTAAATGCTTGCTTGCACAGTAGCTGCCAATGTTGACACTGTTCGCAATCACTTTCTCCTCTCCGAGCCATGTGGCTCTGTAACTATGCGAACTGTCTGGGGCACTAACTACACTCAAACCTCATTATAACAAAATTATGCAGTACACAAATTTAAGTTTGTTATATCCAAAAATTCGTCATAAAGGTATATTCCTAACTCTATATATATTGCAAGACTATTCTTAATTTATTTTGTTAGAACATATACTTCATTATATCAGGGTTCACTATATCGAGGTTTGAGAGTAATTACTGCTTGCACGTTATTCTTAAAACACCTTTTCAAGTAACCATGGAATGAATTCACTGGAAGAGCTTATTTTCTCACGAATTCAACGCCGCAAAATTTTTAAGAGTCGATCCAGTGCGAGTAGAGTTGCAAAGGTTTGTTGCATGCTGCAATTGCATTCTCTCTTCTCTCGTCCCGACGAAAGTGCTGGAAGCTAAGCAGGCAAAGATGACAGGGCCACAGAAAAACGTTACACATGCCTCGTGACCTTGAGCACTTTCTTTTTTTTTTTTTTTCTTCGAATGTGCTGCTTTTTCCGTGCGATCGCATGCACAAGCGTGGACAAGTAGCGGCCTCCCACGGCGGTCTCCGTAACGACAAAGCTCGTCATGTTCAAATCAGCCAATGGCTGATAGATAGGCTTACTATGAGGGATTTTCGGGCTTATTCTGTGATTTGTTGAGAGAAGAGAAAGCAATTTTTAGATCACTTTAATAATTTATTGTGAATTCTAGGACGCGTGTTGTCTGGAGCCTCTACTACCGATCAGCAGCGTCTTCTGACAACGCTCAAAAAGTGCACGACCCCTTTTAGATGTAATATTTCTTTAGATCTCTTGAAAATCTCCGAATTTCCAAACAGAATTTTTAAAACCCTGACTTTTGCATTCTTTAAATTAAAGGATGCTTGCTCATCAGTGTACTTTCGTTCACCCTGTTATAAGGACATTCCTTTGAAATAGGCTTGGGAATATTCATGCTTTTCAAGTATTCAAACAACTGTTAGAGCATTTGAATTCGCTTCTTTATTAATTTGATATTTCAGAAATTTGATATTTCAAAACAAACAACTGAGTTGTTTGCTTCAAACACAAAATGAATAACTTGTGAACAACTGTCTTTTCAAGCAGTTCATCACCTGAGTATGGACCCGAGCCTCAGAAAAAGCTTCACTGCGGCTCGGGCATGCAGTGCAAAAACCTATTCAGGGGAAATATGTTCTGCTAAAGCTGCACTTATGTGTGCATACAACCTGCCTTATGAGTAATTATTTCTTAGTATTAGTATATTTCATACCTAATACAGTAAAACGTCGGTTATACGATGAAGGTGTGGACAAATTTCGGGGTAATACGAATCTTGTTGTGATCCCTCCCGGTTGAGGCCCATCAGTCTGTGATGTAATAGAGCAGTTTTTCTCAGCCAGGGTTGTGTCGGGGACCCCTTGTGGGCTGGTGGAAGTGATGGGGGACTCTTTGCAGCGAAGGGGAGGGAGGAGGGGGGTACGTAGGTGAATTAACACAACTAGAGCGTGAAACAGGTGCCTTTCATTGCTACGAAGAACATCAAACGGGCCTCATCACTTCATTTTGGACAGTTCATCAATATGTGTCACAAAAAAAAAAAAAAAAAAGCGAGTGAGGGTTTTGCTGATCATAGAAAGGGGGTCTGCGGACGCCCATATGAGAACCACTGTAATAAAGTTCAGTTGCAAACTGGTTTTCACCCTGCAACATTTGATATGAATATATGCTGCCGTGCAGGTACGAACAGCTGCTGCCCATGCTGTTGCAGAAGACGCGGCAATCACACATGGGCTAAACTCGCTTTAGTGCGGGCTAGCGTGCCTACATAAACGCAGGCTAGTGTAGGCACATGTTTGGCGCCATGAATTGCGTTGTAGCTTCAAACATAGTGCATGCTAATCTTGGAGGCCTTAATGTGCCTTCGTGTATAGTGTACGGATAATATTGAAGTCGCGTGTTTTTTTTTTTTTTTTTCTCTTTAACATGATGCGTGCTACTATGCTTGAAGTAGCGTCATTGTGCTATGCTTACGTGCGCCTGCCACATCGATGTAAACCATGTTGTTGCAGACAGACGTCCTGTAAGATGTGGACGAGGACCTAAAGAAAAAAGGTGGTCTTAGCGAAGGAGCTAAGCCTCGTGTCAACACGCGCAGCACGCATACCTACCAACTTTCCGCAGCAAACCTCCCAATTGAGTGCCGCACTCAATGTAGCAAAGCCAGCACTTTTTTTTCTTAGTCATGCGATTGTTGGTGTGCGTGGTTTGATAGTTTCGGTCGTTTAGCTGTGAGGAAATCTTCATTGTTAGTGACTGTTAGTGACACAAAAACACGAATGTTCAATTAGAAGCAATAGAAGCGGCGGACATTTCCGGGCATGGACAAGCAAAAAGTTTGAATTAACTGAATTCGTGCAGAGAGGTAGTTTGAATCGAGTAGCCTTAAAATACATTGAAAACGTATTGGGCCAACTGAAAACTTAAATTTGTTTGAATTAACCAAAAGTTTAGATACTTGAGAATCTAATGTAAACTTTTTGTGTGCATGTCATGGTTTGGAAACAGATTCGGATAGTTTTTTGGTGATACGAAATCTAGGATGTTATGAACATTTTTGCTGCGCCTTCATGTTGGTATCTGTGACATTCCACGGTGTCATGATTCTGTTACTGCAGGCTACAACAACCTCAAAACGCAGCTGGTCGACTTCCTGAAAAAGTTTGCCGACAATAGAAAGGTGAGCTGGGTTTTTGGGGCACTGGCACAGCCGAAAGTTCCCTAGGCCTCTTTTGAATGGTCCACATTTTTGAGCAATTGAATCTTATCACGAGAAAAGCTGTTCAGAGGTTCCCCATGGCAGGTGGCACATAAGAAATACACAGACTCCCAAATGCATACCCCTGCCAACTCTCCCGACGTATGACCTAATTTTTCGATTGTACGAATGCTCTCTGGAATCTTGCGAAAAATGGCCGCCACAGCAGAGGATTTTTTTTTTCTTTTGTAATCACGCGCGTGCGTCAGCCTTTCCTGCTGTGACATTTGCGGCGCAGCAGAAGAGCCCTCGCCACTACGTCTGTGTCGTTCATTGTAAGAGTACCGTTGGGTATAATCGAGGCACTGCGCATCTGGGCAAAGGCGGGCGGCCGCGAGACGCACTTGCCACCGTGCCACAAAAAGGTGAGGGAAGAAGTACAACTTTTGCGGTTGTCTGTCTTCGCCACCGCATTTTGTACGCTAGGCCTACACTGCCTGGCCTGGCTTCTGTAAAATGCAAAAAATTATGCTGTTCCAAAACTAATGCCATTGTAGCGTCGCGCCAGTCTTGGCCAGTTGCCGCACTAAAGAAGGAGACAGCCGCGTGACACATGACGCGCGAGCCACGAGGAATTCAGAACGGACTAGCTTCTGGCCTAACTGGACCTCGCCTACACCCGCATCCCAAATAAAAGCCACGACCATGGCACGGCCTCATGGGCTGCCGTCTTGCATTCCTCAGCACCATCAGTGTGTGCTGATCTCATCTAAGACTGAACCTTTGCGCAGCTATGAATGTTGCACATCTTTAATGTTGGTTGCCCACCGCAGTGGTGTTGCGATTGCAGTGCTCGGTTGCTGCGCCCCCTTCGATAGAGGTGAAATGTTAGAGGCTTGTTTTACTGCATGATGCCAGTGCAGGAACAACAGATGGAGGAAATTTCTGCAGCCCTGCTATGGTGTGCCTTAATTGTATCATGGTTTTGGGACACTGAACCCCTTTATAAAAGACACGCACTGGGGAGCTACTCTTGCCGTTTATATGAGGTGTCTCTTGAGAGCCGGGAACCACATGTTTTCTTATCGACACCTATTTCAATGTAGGCAGACTGGCGTCTCTTTTACTTAATTGTGTCTTACATCGGTGTCTCTTATAAAGGGGTTTGACTGTATTGTTATTTGTTGTTATTATTATTATTTTCGGTTTGAAGTGTTTTCTAGGTTATGAGATTTTTTAATATTTTGTAAATGATGTGTGTTCACAGATACTGGTATCCACACAAATTTATTGCAAATTATCTCGCATTCAAAGTTTTCTCAGTACTCTTGTAATGTTCATCAGAAGCATGGCTGCACATGTTATCCAATGTTGCTATGTTTATGCTACGTGCGTTTTCTCATTCCTGCCACTAGGTCGTCAGAGAAGAAGACGTTCGGGAGTTCTTCAGCGGAATGGAAGCCCGCAAGCGGCGGAAGACTTCTGCTGTTCCGTATTTCTGTCGATAGTAGGGTGGGTCGCGTGCTCTCCTCAACTCTTTGTGTTCATTTGCGACTGGTGGTCGCCAGTTGTCGCTTGGTGTAAGCCTGATCTGTGTTTATGTACATGCGTTTTATTTTTGACATTGAACGGACTTTGCCAACTGTAGCGCACGTCTTTTCCGGATGACACCTACGTTATCTCCCATCATCTCAGTGTATGTTGTTCTGTGCACGCTGTATGTTGTTGTGTGCACGCTGTATGTTGTGTGCACGCGACAAATCGCGGCGATAGCTGTGCGTAGTAGAAATAAAGATTTGTTGTGTGTAAACGTCCCCTTCTGCTTGTTCGATGTCAGCTATCACACTTCTCAATATAATCACAGACATCTATAAAGCTGGCTGCCAATCGTTCAGCACTGTTAGAGATTTGGCTTATAACATTAAAGAGAGTGCACTGTACTTTGTTTATCGCATTTACTTATTTAAGATTCAATAATTCTCTCACAGATACACATACAACTTAAATTTGTTCTGCCAAATAAACGTCATCTTTCACCATTATGTAGCATGTTCTCACGCAAGTTGGCCAATGCGTGCACATAGGCTTATAATTTATACAAAACATAATTTTAAGTAACGCTTACATGTTGTGCTCCAATGACCATCTGCTGAAGACTGCTTCATGGTAGACATGCAGCAGCACTGTCAGATTTGACTCCTTTGTGACGTATGGTTTGTCATAAAGTTTTGCATCACTTTTTGCATGACTCCAGGTAAACATCATGCTTCTCACAAATTTCATGGAAGCATTTGTGTTTGTTCTGCTTTGTATGCACTAAAATGTTTCGCAAAAGCTCACAGCTAGGGAGTGAGCAATATTTCTTTTCAATCTGTGCTTTGTGAACAATCTTGTCAACTTTGCAAGACTGCATCGTTTCGGCTCTCCACGCCCAAACATGCGCGCAGTATTGCATGCCAGTCGAGTGCACCAGATTGACTGCAGTGAAGTCGGGAACTTGAAGCGCTCGTCTAGACATTTACTAAGCTAGAAAAGAAAATGTCAGTGGCCTAGTGAAAAGGTCATAAGCACATCCATTGCACTGTATAGTATGTGCAATGGCTTGTGAATGTCTTATGTGATTGCGCAGCAGTTGTGTTGCACTTATATGCACATAACGACAATCTGTGCAAGTTACTGTACAGCGTAGTCATAACAACGCCGCTGCGTTGTGCAGTCTTCCTGGTGATCGGCACCATTTAAATGCTGTTTGTAGAACAAGTGGACATAATGTTGAACCCAGATAAATTTAATATGAGGGTATCACAAGAAAGCTTTCGTGTATAAGTAATTCAATATAGTATTAAATATTTTATATATTGAAACGATATTCCAGGAAATTTCATAACTGCTCAGTATACTCGATCATTCATTTTCCAGCTTCGCATTAGGCATGCAAGCTGAAATGTGGCTATTGAAAGTATGGTGCTGCTCACAAAGAAAGTGCACGTTCTTGTTAAACCCAACTCGTTTATACTGCACTTATCCATGTAAGCCCGGATTTATGCACACCCGTCTTCACCATCTGGATCCATATTTATGGTTTTCCATTCCATCTGGGTTATCCAGATCTGAGACAGCCGTTCTCTGCCGCACGTGGCTTGGGGTGTCTTACACGAACGCCTTTGCTTGCTGCATTGGATGAGCAAACATTGTGGCGCTGATGAAACTATCGCACATATTTTGTGTCAGTGCCCTCAGTACAACTGTCTGAGACAGTTCGTGTCTGCAGTGTTTGCACGCCTCGACGACCAGCCGCTTTCCGAAAAATTAATTTTGGAATGCCGGAAAAATCCAGCTTCTCGCTGAAGGCCCTGCAATCGACCCGCCTTTTTGAATGATTGTGACATTCTAGTGTGTGTGTTTCCTTTTCATCCCTGCTCTTTCTCTCGCTCATCCCCTTTCCCTCACTTTTCCATCTCCCATTCCCTCTTCCCCAATGCAGGGTAGCAAACCAGATACTTGCTTTCTGGTTAACCTCCCTGCCTTTCTTGATGCCACACACACACACACACACTTATATATATATATATATATATATATATATATATATATATATATATATATATATATATATATATATATATATATATATATATATATATATATATCCATGTAAGCAGTGGAATCTCGTTATACTTGGAACCAGAAGGTGACCAGGAAGAATATTTTATTTAATGAGAGTTCTGTTTATAGGGATATCAATGAGTTGCAGACTGCAAGTACCAAAATCAATCATATTACAAGCAGTTGTTCTATTTAAAGGGCCCCTAAACCACCTCAAATATTTTTTTAAAACATCTCGGCATACGCATCATGCTCAGAATGCAGTCACGATTAATGATGTCTGACATGGCAAAGTTACACTGTGGCCTGCCATGAATTCAGCGAAACGATCCCTTCTCTCCGGGTTTTTCGGCATTCGTGTTGACGTGCCCGATGTGAACGCGTTGCATTTGTGATGTTGTTGACAGTCAATGCTGCGATCAGTCGGCATAAACCAGCGACTTCGGTTTGGTCTGCAAGCAGCTCCTCGCTATTTTAAATGCGAATGCATTTCTTAGTCGGGCTATGTCAAGCATCCGGTAGTGGTGGTCGCGCGCCGCCAGGTGTTATTTTTTTGCTCTCGCTTCCTTTTCCATTGCAACAGCTGAGGGCACGCGCACTTATCCTCGCCCCTAGCAACCGGAGCATGTGGTGCAAGAGAGAGTATGAGAGGGTAGGTGCGCAGCTTCGCCACTCCTCTCGTCGTTCGCTTGCTCTCCTCCCTGCACTTCACTTTCTCGTCCGCTCGTGCCTCACTCTCTACCGTTTGCTGGCTGGGCGCCTCTCAAGAACATATGGAAATGTGTGCTCGAAACGCCACTGTGAGACGCCAAAGCAGAGTTGAGAATGCTGATGCCCCACTCCCGTCCGTCCGCTCGCTCCTCACTCACGACCGTTTGCTAGCTGGGCCCCTCTCAAGGCGATGGCAGAAGATGGTGAAGGTGAATGTCTGATGGCAACGCTGCCCTTTCTCGGCGCGAAAAATGCATTCGCATTTCCTCAGGATTTTCTTCAGGGAGATTTTTTGTTGTGTTGCCTGCGTGTGCACGCTCGCGAATTGGCAAATGCGACCGGTAACGCGAATGCCAAATTGCTAGCATATCAACGCAATCTTGCCTGGCATTCTGATTTACCGCATTAGCTGGATCGACAACGGCAGGTAGCTGAGAAGCTTGCATTTGACATAGTCATGGTAACCGGAAGTGGACACAGTTTCGAAGTGCGCATCAGGAATGATGTAAACGTCGCGTGAAATTAGGAGGCACTCGGTAAGGATGGCGAGGTGGCTTCACGAGAGCGGACGAACTAAGGGTAGCAAAGGAAAGAGTGAATCATTCGATGGCTGCATTTCTATCGTCAAATGCGTATAACTCCACTATTACTGTACCTGTCTCGAAAAATTCTCACGGCCACATGTTTGTTATAGACTCGTGCACAAATGCAACGGCACACATACATTTCGACCTCTGAGTGGTTCAAGGGCTCTTTAAGCATTTGTTTCGTTGAAGAGATTTTCGTTTACTAAGACAGCACTTACATCAATTCGATGAATATAAACGAGGTGGGAGTGAACACGGCAATTTATCTGTTCATGCAGGAGTCGTGTCTTGATAAAGAGGACACTGAGGCTGAAAAATCATTTATTGAAATGCGTAGGCAAAAAAAAGCACCACCACTGATAACATGAACAAGGGAACATTGCTTGTACTGATATGGTGGCTAGAGTACTGACCACACCGTAGGCAGAACGGGTACAAATCGAGCCGGAAATGGCATGGAGATGTGTTCATGATTTCTATCCTTTTTTTAGCGCGCGAAAGTGAAGGGCGTGATACATTACTATTGTGGTGCAGGGCATTTAACATTTCATAACTAGAACTAGCACGTTGCTGGACATTCAATACGTCCACACTCCCACTGGCGTATTCTATCAGAACTTGCATACTCCCAAAAAATTGTCCATAATTGACCACTAGGACCTGTTCATAAATGAAAAGGACAGCAAGTAAATGCTTAATTCTTGGGTACTTATTAATCGATTTATTTCTCTCTATTCTCTGACATTGTGGTTGTGCTTGAATAAATAACAGAGCCTTTATTTTTTTTTATTTAAGCCTAACCCTTTCAAATGTACATGAAAAACTTTTCATCTCGTATATACACACTTGAAAAATACCCAAGAAGCGCACTAACTCGTGATTAGCAAAAGAATAGGTCACAGTGAAAGCACATAGCTTTCTTAACATCCAGCAAGATGGCAAATAGTGCACTTGGCAATAAAAGTTAACTGTATGCAACATTCGCCAGACAGCTCAATGCGCTCAATTTCCGAGCTTTGATGTTGCAGTTCCATGACTGCAGATGTAAAACAGAACCAACATTCACGTATGTTATTAAACCAACTATTGTTGACCAGCTGTATACACCTCTTGGCAAGTGTGAAGTGAATGCACACCCCATCAAACACTTCGACGTTCACGTAATCGATTGAGAGACTGCTTTTAAAGCAGCCCATTACAAACACTGTTTTGTCGTGGAGGTGTAATTTTCAGAATATGAAGCATGTGCGTTGCCCTCCATAGAACTGTAAAGAATACAAAAATACGCTTTTATTATTTTGACATTCTGCCAGATTAAGAGACATTGTATAATGCACGAAGACAAGTGTTAATGCATTAGGATTGTTTGTATTCTTCTGTGGGGTCGTTTAACACATCCATACTAATTAGTTTAGTTATCTGCTTTTAATCATTATGAGAAGCCATCAAATACCATGCTTCTTTCTTGCGATGGCTTTCGGATACCGACCTTGTCTGCAAAAGACTCGAAACCCGACAACAAAGTTTAGGTTTTCAAGTACAGTGGAATTGAGCTCATTGGCAACAGTTCATAATTGCTACAGTGCTGTAGTAATTATAAAAATTTTGACGTAGGTTTAGAGCTTATCACTGAAAAAGAAAATTGCTGCATCCTCCACAAGGCACGGCACACATGTGTGCACAAAAGCTTCAACACAATATGTGACATTTAACAGAATATACACTCTTTCAGTGACGACACTCGTGAGACGACGTGCATTGATCGGTCCAATGAGGCAGTGGATACCTATCGGTGGGACAATGCAGCTTCGATACAAAAAAGGGTTGCCCTAGCAATCAGCGCTTTTCGGGACATCTGGATTTCTTAGCAAACGAATGTGGCTATGGTGCGCTAGCAACTACAACTGGAAACTCGGAGAGATTTTCCCGCAAGCAAAAAACTTGCGGCAAAGGCTGGCATTGTTGCCAAGCATGTCAGTCGTCGTAGCAATGTTTTAGAAAATATCTTTTTGCTTTGGAGCCGAATCTTCCCACTGGTAGATCTCTTCTGCCAACACTGGAATGATGCACGCATGCTGCTATTTCGCCTGGTAGAACGCACCTCACAAGCAAGGCGAGAAGTGTCCCCACATAAAGGGTGCATACATCTTGCATCACAGCCATGACACAGCAACGTTGGAAGCACTGGCTTGAATACAACTTGAGTGAATGGTTGTTCAGCGTGCCCACTGTAGATGGCCCAGAATCGACACCTAAGGCAACCATGCTCAGATTATCGCATTTTATTAACCCGCCGACCGCACACACACGCTCGCTGAAAGCACTGTCAACTACCTGCCCAAAAGACACCGCAGATAGGCTTACCAAGACCCCTTTACTATATACACACTTAAGGTGGCATTGGCCAGTCCAAATGTACAGACCGATGCTACCTCATTTCCCAAGCTCTTTATTTTTCAGCAAAGACGCAAACCCATGCGATGGTCGACACTTCAACGTGGCTGCAAGTCTTGAGACTCGTCGTTGACTCTGATGTTCGGATTGAGCCGAGGGTCTAGCAGTGGGTCCGACTCCGCGGCGGCGCGGCCCCAGTGCATGAGGAAATAGACGACAGTGAAGAGCCCGAGCACGATGAGGATGGAGAGGACGACCCAGCGCTTGAGGAACGTGTGCGGGTCTCGTCTACGACTGCCGGCCATTATTGTTCTTGACCTGGTGGGAAAGGCAACAACGTCGTTTCACAAGTTTTATTTAATAAGATCTCACAAGACTGACAAGATTAAAAAAAAAAAACGCTAGGCCTGCGCGGATGGGGCACACAGTCACAGCGGCAGAGAGCTCTCAGTAAATTCTCTCAAGAAGACTAGTACATGCAAGTATAGTTGTGAGGTAGGTATCCACTACACCATAAATCATAATTTCACGAAGTAGTAAAGAACCCACTATGCCATTATTCATTATTCTGCCAAGAAGCAAGGTATCTGCTATGCACCTGTGAGACATAATGTGCACTTCGTCGATGCCGTCGCTAATGATGAAGATATATAGCTAGGCTCTTTGTAATGGATTGCAAGCTTTAAAAAAGCCCCACTCATTAGACAATCTGAACTGTGCAATGCGTTATTGTGCTCTGCTGCCACGCAATATTACATCTGCCAATGGCGTTCCTCGACCTACATGACACCTGCATACGGTTTACATCAAGATGCACAAGAACAGTCAACAATTGGCAATAATGTAAGGAAGTTTCGGCAACATTGGCAACCGTTCACTGTATCGTTCTGTGAAAACTGATATTTGCGCACTCTAATTTTCAGACATGTCAAGCCCACAACAAACGCGAACACCTACTTGATCCAGCGTGATAGCAGTTCAAATCCGGATCGTCGTTTATACTTGTCCTCGTCATAGTCCGGTGCAGATGTGACGAAGTTGGCCTGGGTCGCGGTGAATACCTTCCGCGACGACGTCAGGTGGCCTGCAATGAGGAATCGTCTAGAATTAGCAAATTCTAAGCTCTCTGCAACAGTGAAGACCCATCTGTCACTATTTCCGGTAAATGTGTGTTTCAATTCAGTGAAATTCACCTCACATCTGCGACTTTCATAATCTAACTGCCACCTAGTACCATATTTACTTAACGTAACGTGCATTTTTCCCCCAGCTTTTTCGCAACTTTTGCTTTTTCCCGTGAGCTACAATCGAATACTGCAATTCAATTTATCTAATAAGTTCAATGATGCGCCCAGTTTTTTTATAGCTTTTTGTTTTTCTTTTTCGAAACTCACTACTCGTGCTATGATCGCAGTCACGTTACAATTGAATAAATACAGTAAACATCTGCTACCTTTTCCATGGAGCTCTTTGCTCTATTAAAGCAACAGGCTGCTGGTTATCTGCTCTGCACGTTAACATAGCTTTCTCTCGCGGCAAACGTCCCTATTCCTGTCGATAGACACACTCGGGCTCAAACAACAAGAGTATTGCCATAGTCACACAGGAGTTTTGGGAGTTCGTTCCACTTCTACCCGCTTATAAAAATGTTGGGTTTAAGATATAAGCATGAATTCTGCAAACTGCAACTAGACGTTTACTTTTCGAGCCTTTGTATCTTTAGAGAAATGATCACAAATCGGAGAGAAAACCAAAACAAAACTTGCTCAAAGCAGATATTCATCATGCCGATGGCACGTTGCATTTACCGTAACAGAGTATCTTAATTACTTGTTATTACTTGTTAAGAAATTATTACTTGTTACCATAACAAGTAACCATTTTTTCACACAGTTTACTTTATCACTGTGCTTATCAAACTCTGTTGCAGACAAGAACATGCTTTTTTTATAAAATTTGATGCGACGTTTGCAGATCATAGAAAACATCAAATTCACTAGAACTTCTCTTCATCAATACATATCTGTCAATATGTCATTCAGAGATTGTTTCCAGCTGCAAACTATTATGTGATCCCGAATTTCATTAGCACTGATAAATATTCAGTAGAGTTCAGAGGTTTGCTATGCTTGCATCAGGCCCGTAGCCAGGAATTTATTTCCTGGGGGGGGGGTGGCAACTCGTGAAGGCATTTAAAAATCCGTATTTTCATTATTTATTTTCTGAACAACACCGCCCGTCCACCCAAATGTCAGGAAGGCCCGAGCCCCTAGGGCACACCACATGACTACGGCCATGCCTTGCAGCATAGCTTCCAACTCTCCAGAATGTTTGTTCCCGATAAAGCTATAGGGAATCCACACTGTTGGATGGATCAGTGTGTTTATTGGATAATAAAAATAATAATGTTGACTGCTCAAGTTTTACATTCCGAAACCACAATATGAATATGAAATGCAAACTTTTGACCCTATGAAATACTACACAGGCCTCTAGCATTTTACCTCCATTAAAATGCATCCGCCATAGCCGACATCAAACAATCCAATAACAGTCTTGCGGCAAGGAGACAGTGACGTACTGTTGGTGGCAGTGCCATAGTTGACGCTGTTTTCAGGAGCGATCGCCGTATGCAAGGGCGAAGCGGTGTTGGGTGCACTGCTTTGCGCACGCCACGGTGGAGGCGCAGATTGGGCTAACGAGTTGACCGGACTCGCATTGGCCTGACGCAAGTCACCCTGTGGTCCGGAAGGCTGTTTCTGTAACAAAGACAGTTCCGATGGTGACCAGTTCTAAGTTTCTTCACGCGCACGCGATTAATCTCTCAGAAACATCCTGCTTCAATGAACGTCTATCAAGGCGAAAACCTTAGATGCCTTATCAAATGCCGAAATTGATTTGCAGCATTGGTAGCGTCGGCGTCAATACGAGTGATGTAGGAAGTTATTGTCACAGGATGACGTCACCATATAACATCATGAAATGAAAATTCGCCAAAATTTGCAGGGTTGTAATCACATCACTGTGATATCACATAATGTGAAGTTATCATTAAATGATGACGTCACCACATGACATGATTGTGACATCACAGATCGCCAAAATTTACCATATCATCACGTCACAGTAACATCACAACGTAACTTCACACGATGATCGAGGTTGAGCCGATCACAGCAGCAGTGCTAGATGAGACAGCATGCAGGAAGGTTGCAACGCCTCTGATCCTGGAGGCAGCAAGAAGCCACGCTTGGTGGGGAAATTTTTCGAAAGGGCAGTAAGGAGGATTAATACTTTTACTGAAAAAAATAAGACGAGTTTCGCCTTCAAGTCAGCTTAGGCAAAAGCGTAAGAGATTCGAGAGATTTCATGTCACAAATGTACACATATGAAAGAAATAAAAGCCACTGCTTAGGCAGCTTGACGAGTTCTCACGACTTTGATGTGAACATCAGTAATGAAGAACATGTCAAATCAATAAACAGCTCGTGTGGGCTCCGTAGGGCAAACATGTGGTAGATACAGTAGTCACAGGCTGAAATGAGACACTTGTTCTTTAGAATAATGACTGTTCTGAGCAATCGCTCATGATAACTGTGCCAATGTTGCTGCAAATCAAGGACTGTAAATGCTGGAAACGAAAGCCCGAAATTTTCAGATTTCAATTTGTGTGTACTGTAATAGGATGCTGTATCTTATTGAATACAGAAGTGAAACTATTATTAGATGAGAAAGTTGCATGCAGTGGCACTGCGATTCTGTGGAAATGTTCTGTGGAAACGTGGCAGGTGTTTTTGGGCCCAACCGAGAGTATTTGAGGCAAAAACATTCTGCTTCCTAGCAAGCAGATCTCGCTGGTCGGTCAAGTTCCACAGTCCCAAATTCAAGGGTCTCGCAACAGTCGCTCCAATTTGGGACCCTGGTTTGTGAAGTTATGTATTTTGAACAAGTACCTCGCACAAGCTGCTCTCGAACGAATGCAGACAAGCAAAATTGTAGCTAATTAGCGCAGTTGGACGACCAGTGGCAGCGTTTCGACAAAGGTTTATTTGAATGTAACAATGTTGGTTTGTGACGTCCTTTGTACTCGCTTCTCACCTGCTGTGTGATCTCTGGTATGGAAGGACCGGCGTTTGCCCAGGATGCGGACTTGAGCAGCATGTTCAGGGCGTCTGCAACTGGGGACTCAATGTTGATGGCTGGGACGATAGCCGAGCCACACGAAGGACAGCCGTAGCCAGCCGGCGCAGTTGTCTTAGGCATCCGCTTGCAGTGGTCGTCCAAGCAGGCCCAGTGGAATACATCTGAGAAGGCAGTACGAGCGCAAAACGTAGAATGAGCGGGAAATACTGTTGAGCGTTGATATCAAATCAAATCATCAGGGCATTTCCTGTGAAGTGAGGGACCAAAGGGAGCACTGACGCAAAATTTGAATATTGTGAACTTTTCACACTAAATAGAAGCATGTATATTTAAGGGCTTGATTTTGTTTGTAAGACACAATATTAATGATCTTTTACAGACGATAATGCCAAGGAAAGTATAGAGAAGTAATTCATATCTAAATGTGAAGAAAGAAAAGTGGACGGAGATACCGTGGTAGCTCAGTTGGTTGAGCATCGAACACATTACTCGAAGGTCGCCGGTTCGGTTCCTGGCGGGCAAGCACTCGCTTCAGTCATTGGACACGTGATAATTGTCGCGCATACCGACAATGTCGCCGAAAGTGATCCACTCTGAATACGGCCCCAGAAGCTGGTATCATGGCAAAATAAAGCGAAGAAATCCAAAAGAAATGATGTTTACACTACTTGTCAAAAGATACTGCCTAGGTGAAATACCCAATATCGGACACGTCACGTGGTCCGCCGCTCCCTGATGCGTATTGGCTACCGTAAAAGATGACGTCACGATGCGCATGTCAACAATTATGTGTGGGCGTGGCTTCCGAAACTGCATGCGAAAATGTTTGCTGCAACCACAAGCGCGTCAATACTTACGATAGCACAGTAGGCGGGTGCAGGTACCGTTGGCGAGCTCCTTGCGGCAGATCTGGCATACGGGGTCGTAATCACTGTCTTGGAGCCACTGGAGGTAGCTTTGGACTATGCACTGCAAAGACGCATTAGAGACGTTGTTTTCAGCGTGCGATTTTTGTTTGCATCGCGTGGAAAGGCCACAAACGTGCCCCGCTCTGTTTTGCTAGTTTTTCTGATCTGTAGATCAACGAGGTTGCTCAAACGAGCTGCGAAGAAGCAAAGCGCACATAGGAACTACGAGGTCCTATGTTCCTATGTGCAAAGCTCACATAGGAACTACGAGGAACGCGTCCACGTAGCCGTTTTCTGGTCCGACATCGCCGCACCCAACTTCAGAAAGACAACAGCTTTATTAATAGTGTGAAATACTAGCTCACCGTAGGGTGCTGGGCTACCATGCAGTGTTCACACACATTCACCCGGTGTTCGTAGCAAAACTGGTTGGTCACTTTCTTTCTGGGGCACTTGCACAGACCCATGGTGGCGTCCTCTTGCCGGCTTTGAAGGCCGCTCCACCGAGACCAATTTCGACTAGAAACTCACGAAAGGCGCGCGGGAGACCGCGGCTACAAATCGTTCGATCTTTTTCAGAAACTACATTCGCGGAAGGCCGGAAACGGTCGCTGTCATAACTCGCAATTTGCCACGACTTGCTCCTACGAGCGGCACCGTGCGGTTTCGGTGGCGTCCCACTGCTTAGCCGCAATTAAGCATTCGTACTAACCACTTATATCTCAAATTTTGTTGCTTAAAAGCATCATTTATTCTAATCAAGCAGAAGTACAAAATTGAAGCTTATTTATTAATTTGAGTGTTTTGAATATTTGCAACGGAAGCAGCGCAAAAGTTGTTTGCATTGAGTACGGGCGAGCGGCTTGAGTTAATTTATCCAAGTTTTGTTTCTGTTTTGCAAGCAGCTGTGATTCCGGCGGTGAATGTTGTACAGTACGTGCGGCTTTTACGTGAACTGTTTTCCTAATTAAACGGCGGCATCTCCCACTGTTTGCGATTGTCAGCTCGTTTTGGCACCCTTGGCGCTTCGCTCGAGTTATCCTCTACTTTGCTCGACTCATTTTACTGAACGCTGGAGGCGCGTTTGTTAGCAGTGAGATACCCAAAGTGAGCGGGCAGTTGTCCAGTTTGTTACTGGCTTGTTTCAAGGCTGTTCGTTCTCCACCTCGGTAAATAGCCTTCACGACTGTTTATTTATGGCGTTCACCCCTTTGTTGTGCTCCTTTGCTGGCTACTAGATCGTTACTAATTTTTTCCTTGGCGCACTGTTGTCAAAGACCCCAACTAATTTTGCAGAGGATTGAGGGTAACTGCGTCTCGAATCCTCGAAAAAGCGGCCGAATGTTTTATCTTATGCCAAGTTGCTGAGTGTTTTATCTTATGCCAAGTGTTGAGTTTGCTCGAAATCGTGGATACAGTTGTCAGCTATATACCCCTGATAGGCTCTGGAGCCCTAGTCTTGTCATTACGCCTTTAAGCACGTTAATTACGCGTTGGAGGTCCCAGGATGCGGCGATTTAGTTCCGTCGTTTGATTTAGTAGAACTGTCGGAGCGGCTGCAAAGGTATTTGATATATTTCTGTATTACTGATAGCTCAGGCCGGCGCCTGAGCTATCACTGCTAACGACAGTGAGAAAGATAATTCTTGTGGTGGTTAGCAATCTGGGAGTGGGTGATGGAGTTGTGGGGAAAATGAAGATTTCAGGGGTGCAACTGGCCACACCTGTTACTAAGCGCTCGTCGCAGCCAACCTTACAGCTTACAGCTGAGGTTGTAACCCTGACCAGAACCCAGTTTTATATAGGAAGACGTGGTGTTCAACCTCGACCAATATTAAATTTCAGGTTGGAGGTGGTCTAAATTTCCGGAGCCCTCCACTACGGCGTACTCATAATCATGGTGGTTTTAGGACGTTGAACATATCAATCAATCAAGTTTCAGGTTATAAGACATGGGTTGTAACCTTGACCGAAATCCGATTTCAGGTTGGAAGACATGGTGCTCCAGCAGGACAGTGCCAGAGAGAAAGTTCTGGAGAAGATTGACGACGCCGAGAAGCTTCTGGCGCAGTGCGACTCCCTGAGCGTGTGCCCTGGCAAGAGCAAGCTGCAACGCAAGATTCAGGCCGAGATCAAGTTCCTGCGCAAGCTCTCGAAGACGCCCGAAGGCATCAAGGAGGAGCATTTCCGATGCACCAACCTGGCCTACCTGTCAGCCGTCGTCACGTGCTCGTTAACCGTCACTGGTCTGGTCGACGTGCTCAAGCCTTTCTCCCTCCCCGAGGTGAGCGAATGTATATTTCATCTGGCACCGTTCTGAAATTGGCTGCCCCAAATAACATCACCGACTACCACCAGAAACATTCGGGCATAATTTTCTGTCAAAAGCGTGTGAGCACCCATGTGAAAACATAGCTGGCTCTCCCATAATTGAGACCAGGCGTAAGTGTTTTGACCCTGGTCGTGGCGGTTTGTATTTCGATGGAGGTGAAATGGCAAAAGCCCATGTGCTCTGTGATGTCAGCGCATGTAGAAGAACACTATATGGTCGACATTCCTGGAGCCCCATACGTCAGTGCCTCTTATACTTATATCATGGTTTTAGGACGTAAAACCCTAAATGTTATTGTTATTATCATTATGAGACTAGACGTGAGCATGAAATAGGTACCGACATAGTAGATATAGCCACAATCGTGTGCATATTTTCAGTGGCACACTGTCGCCGTTTATGAGAAGAAACACCAAACTCGTGGCTTTCAATATGCGACTGCTACCTACAGCTCCTTCTATCGACAGCTGAAAGCATGTCCACTTTTGGCGTCATCTATTGGCTAATGAAATAATGAGTCATGGCCGGTGAATTGCTGATAGATTATGCTGCCTCTTTGCTTGCTTAATAGGCAATGCTTGGAGCTCGCTTCGTGCTGGCACACCACACTCGATTTGTTGGCAGCAGGTGATGTGCTGCAGGTATCGCCCATTGCACAATCAAAGAGGCAACATAAATTAACATTGATTGTAAACTGCTAATGGCTGATTGTTTTCTTTGTCAATAAATGATGCCAAAAGCAGGCATTCTTTCGTTAGCTGTCAGTTGATGTAGCTGTATGCAGCTGCTGCAGAGTGCAAGCCGTGTGTCCACACGTTCCCTTTCATTAACGATGACATTTTACAGTCAACCACAGAACTTTATGGACCACTGAAGCACATGGTCACCCTTTCGCGACACTTTCGCAACGTCAGCAGCGATGGACAGCAGCGTAGCGCCTGAGGCGCGTTCCTTCTTTAATCTGTGGCCTTTCTGTTTTCTGACTGGGTACAAATAATTTTAACTTGTCACTTCATAACGCGATGCGCTTTTCAGCATATACGTCTACGTGCTTTTGCCTCGACAGCAATTTATGAGCACAACTGTAGCAATCTTTATCACAAAGTGATAACCAGCCAATGGAACACTGTTGGAGGCACGCCATAATGACTTTCAACCTGCTATGAATACAGAAATGTGACGGTAATACTGCAGATAAGTGCTTTGCGTGAAAACTGCGAACTAACAATGCACTATGCGGCAGTGGAAAATTCAAATGCCTGCGAAAAAAAAAGAAGAGCAGTTTCCGCCCTAACACTGGCGTCGACGGTAGATGGCGCGGACAGGCATTTTTGCACGCGCTCGCATGGTGTGCAAACTTTTGTGGTTGACTGTACATCATATCACAACATGCTGTGTAATGGGACACATGGACACTACTGTATCGTGTCGCTAAGCAGGGTACATCTAGGGCTTTGCTTGTGGCCGGCGTTGCCAGGATGCAATGCTGGCCTGAGCGTTCGGAGGCCAGGCGCTGTTGCACTGCATAAGGTAGTAATGCAGTGCAACACAGTAACTCTATGTTGTGCATAGTATGGGGCCATCTATTGAAACGGCAACGAAACCTGCACCGTCAAACTCTCTTGTTGCACAGATGTCTCGTTTTGCTGGCTAAAGAGAAGACCTAAAAGCATTCCATGCTCAATGTTTACAGCCCCTTCATCTAAAGCTAAGGAAAACACTGAAGAGAGCTCATGCTCTTGTGAGACTGATTAAATTTTCAGAAGAGTGTATTGCTTGGCAATGTTAATTCATGTCTCGCTTGTTATTGCACTAGTGATCGAAGTCGAAAAGTGATGCGGACACAGTGCTGACTTCTATCATATGCTTTCTCTTCTACAGCGGTACATTTTTTAAAACGAAATTAAGAGGTCATTCGAGAATGCCATCCTATGGGCCTTCCAGTAGGCCCAAACAGTGGCTCGACTATGATTGTATAAGGAACCACCTCTTGATGACGAGGAAAAAAAAAAGTTTTGGTACCGTTTTGTTTTTACTGCATATCTTAAATTCTATACACGCCCGCATCTTTGCTTTTTACATGTATTTTTCCTCTATGACGCACCTGCATGCATTGAATTCTCTTGTACTTTACATATATGTACCACTGCAAAAACAAAAAGCATATGGTAGTAGCAGAATAAGATGGTGGCACTGCAAGTGAAAAAACTCGGTGCCAGCAAGCATACAGCCGTGCAGCCCGCAAGGATGCACCAGTTGCATACATATTTGTGCGTGCCATTTTGGAACAATTCATGCTCTCTTCATTGTGGAACTCGTTCACAATCGGCCATTTATGGTATGGCAATGTGATCTTTTATCGTGGTCACTTGTCATTTCACCTTGGCACATTTTATTGTGGCGAAGATATGAATGTATCACCATGATATGAACGCATGCCTGCCATCATTTCTTGTAGCTACTGAAATGTTGTACTGCTAAGCGCGTGAATGGAGGTCCGATTTCTGGAATGGAGAAAGAATAATTCTAGGAGGGAGCATTTTATAATATGATAGAAAGAAAAGAAGAGAGAAAGGCAGTAGGTTAGGCATGCAAATATGACGCTTTCATAGAAAAAGGGCTCTTCAAACTTTTTGTAAATAAAATTAGGCCATCACGTTCCTGGCTTCATCCTGCGACCAAGAACATAAATGTGTCTGTATACCAATACCTGTATGGCAATATTAGCCATATTTTGAAAATGGTCAAGTTGTTCTCAGACGTGTACATTATCGATCTGTTTTACCGATGAAGATTGACGCCGAATGTGAGAGGCAGAGGCGTTGCGCCGATCGAACCATTGTGGACGTGGTAGCCAATCACGGTGCGGCGTGGATCAAAGTGGTGGCGCGCAACCCGGAAGCCCTGCTGACCTCGTCCCTCGGAGACGGAGAGTACGGCCGGCGCACCATCCTGGACCAACTCCAGGACATGGTGGAGTGTGCGGGCTGCCACCCGCACCTGTACAAGGCGCCCGAGGTCAAGGTGTGGACCGTGCTACCCGTCTCCAAGCCACTCCGGGAGATCATTCAGGCTGTTGGTGCTGAGGTGGGCCCTTTGGTTATCGTACCTTAAAGCACAAGCCCGGCTGTTTTAAAGGGTCTGTGAACCATTTTAGGGGCGAAGCTCCTAAAGGCCTGGGTCTGTTCATCCCTTGTATGCATGTATGTATGTACGTGACCGCCTGCCTACAGCTTTCACCTTTGCCAACTGCCTACAGCTTCGTCTTTGCAAACATCCCACTACGCCCCATCACCGATCCACCACTCCACCGACCATAATGCAAATACTGTTGAGAAGTAGTCTATATAAAATTCAAGATGGTCGTGTACTTGTATCTAGGTGCGTGTTAAGGAACCATAGGTTGTCCCACTGCATCCATTCCTTGTTTGTACGTGACCGCCTATAGTTCCACTTTTGCAAACTGCCCAATACGTTCTCTTTAAAAACATTCCACTACTCCCCATCATCGATCCACCGGCCCACCGACCATAAAGCCGTTATAATGAAGGGGGAACGGAAGCGATGTATAGCTACCACTTACGTGTAATGATACTTCTTGTATAAATATATGCGGTGTTTTTCGAGTCTTTGATGATGTAGTGGGCGATATTCGTGGGTGGTTCACAGTTTAGCGATAAAACTCCAGCGCTTCGCCCCACTCATCGTCATTCACTTCGTGGGTATGCTGCGAGTTTTTCCAAGTAATCATCGAATGAACTCAGTTTCGGAGCCTCATGAATCAATTGCTGGAAAAAAGTTTCGAATCTGTCAAGAACGAGCAAAATTGCAAGGATTTTTCGCACACTTTAGGCATTTTCTCTCTGCTCTTATCCTGACATGCACACAGGAAGCTGCGCAGGGACAGATGGCACGGGTAAAGAAATCAGGTCAGCGTGTGTCGTGACGTTGAGCGAGCACGATGAATCGCACTCTTCTGTTGCGATTCCTGTGCAGGCTAGTGTGACTACTGCGTGAAGCATGGCGCCGGCACGTGACGACAACCCTTGGCAAAAGGCGCATCTTATCGAAACACTGCCCTTAATTTACATCGGCTGTAGACCAATAGCACGCTGTCTGCAGTGTGACATCGAACAGCAGGCTGCCTGGCCATCAAAGAGAGTGGGGACGAGTGTACGTATGAAGACATCTCGCTTGAGAAAGTGGCAACTTCATGGACCCCCTCTGAACTTTCTCTGCCCTGCATGACTGCAAGATTTGGCCAAGCTGTTCACAGTAGCGTCCGCTTCACAGTGGGACGCGTTTTCTCACCAAGCCCAGAGGATGGCAGTTTTGACAGCATAGGAGTATGGGCTTGTTGGCATCCTTTTTTGCGATTGTTGCTTTGTCAGAACAGAGAAAAGATCAATTAAAAAAATAAGCTACAGAGTCAGATGGTACCATAGCCTTAGGGCAAAACTAAAGCGCACTCGCAAAGCTGAGAGACCATCAGATACAGGACATATCGCCTGTCCTGTGTCTCTTCTGTGCTTTGTTATTTCTAGGCTTGTGTGAATACTCAGCTGCTTCAAATAGTCGAACGAATAATTCAGTATTTTGATTCACTTTGAATCGAATTTAAATTATTGAAAACTTTGAATTGTTCGAAATGAACAAATTATGTATTTCGCTTGTGACACTCTGTAAAGGTGGTTTCACTGCAGTGAAGCAGTGTTAAGCCGTGAAAGTGTTTATTCCTGTGTGCATGTAACCCCTCTGCAAAAGTCGTTTTACTGCAATGAAGTGATGGTAAGCCGTGAAAACACGTATCCAAGGGAAACCCACAATGCTGCTAAGCCCCACTTCAAGGTTAAATTAACATATTATTCACACATCGATTCATTTTTTAAGTTTAAAAGCTTGTTATACAAACTTATATGCTCTAAGTATAGCGAATTTTAAAAAGCAACATATCTTACAGGCCATCACTTGCATTTTACCAAAAGTCAAATCCTCCTTCTGTTTATTGTTTCCACTTTGCTTGATACAAAAAAATGACAGTTGCACAAGCCTTGTTTCAATTAAAAAAAAAAATATTGTGCTTTAAGCCCTGCGGCACGCACCATAGGAACGGTTAGTCCTCAAGGTTAGGCATCTCCTCCGTACTTTCAAGAAAGCACACCAGGTGGCATGACAAGCAATGAACATTCTGACATTGCTGCTCGATCAGCTCTTCAGAGGGACATGGTCGAGACAATACCTCTATCGAGGATCGATGCCGCTATCCAACTTCGAGTGGTTGCACAACAAGTCACTTTCTAATATAGGAATACAGCAAGTAGACTGCACAACCGCCACTGCCCGAACGCTTTACGTCTTCTGGCACTTACTGGACTACAGCAAAATGATACCACTCTGCTTGGCCGTTTATGGCTTAGAGTGGCTTTCACGAAGTCGTTCTCCTTTTGGATTGGAATGGCTGACAACCCTTTCTGCAACAACTATGGTAGCGAGGAAACATTAGAGCGCATCTTCTGCTACTGTCCCCGCTATAATACGCAGAGAACATCTCTGGCAGCCGCTCTAGCTGGCATAGATCAGAGACCGACAGAGGCAGAAACAAATCTGGAATGTAAACCCGAGAGGACATTGCGGGTGAAGACGGTGCTCAGCTTCCTGAAGGCAACAGGCTTGCACCATGTGATTATAAGCTTATTGTGCTATGGTGACTGTGAAGTGCGACTTTGTGAGCTTGCTTTCTCCTCCCTCTCTCTTTCTACATCTTTAAAACTTCCTCACTCTTTCTCCTGTGTAGGGTATCATACCAGTCTTCTCGGATCCTTCCTGTTCCTTTCTTCTTTATAATGTGCAGTATATGTACTATTTGAATTCAATTCGAAATCATTCAACCAAAATCGCTATATGCTACGAACCTAAAATTCACCATTTGCTCAAGCTTAATTATTTTCCAGAAGATGGGTGCATCCTTGCATTGCTTTATTTTTCAAGATGCTGAAGGACAGACAATCCTAGAAAAAAATACTGTTTAGAGTACACTAGAGCACACCTCTAAACTTTGCAAACTGGCTTGTGGGAATAATGATTCGACTGATGTTAAGTTAGCGATGGCGCTGTGTGCTATGTTTGCACTGTTATCATAATCATTGTGTCCGTGCCTTCCATACTCCAGCTGTTACTTTAGCAGCAAATTCTTCAGGCTTCCTTCGTAGCGACGTCAAGGTATGTGTAAACTGGTAGCCTAACTTCATTGAAGCACATGTGTTCTGTACTTGGCGGCTTGTTGCCACTGTTGGCTTCTAAGTATAAAAGGGACAACTAACAGCTAACAAAAGATTAAGAATAAAATGTGACGTCACAACTGGAAGTGGTAACAATGTCGTGTATTTGCCCTACATTTATAAAATTGAAATTTTTCCTGATTGTTGACCTTTTACGTGCGTTACAAATATGCCATTTTATTGCGCCTTATGGCTGGCTAATTGTATGTGTGAGAAAAAAGAAAGACCTACAAAAAGATGAAGAAGCAAATTTTTTTTATTGGCCAAATGGTGTACTTGCGATATACACCGAAAACTTTGCAGATCAAATTGTAACATAACTGTTCACAAGCAAAATAGCATAATAGTTCAAAAACTCGCGTTGCCCAATCGTGGAAAATCACTGCAACGAGAAAGCAGCCTTCTGACTATCGCTTTGGAAACCGTTGAGCACAACGTCTCATTGCGTAGCATGTCAAATTCGCCGTCACCATAGGGGAGGGCGTGCGCTCGCAAAGGCGGTCGACAGTCCCAGGAGCGGCTGTTTACACTTTCTGTTGGCTTGTTCTGCTCCGAGATGTCACACCGGTAAACAGCCCATAAGCAAATAAATAAACTATGGGAGGTACACACAAAACTACAACCCAGAAGTGAGTGGTTCCTCGTTCACCCGGCAACGCGCCGAACTAAACGCAAGCTTTGATAGCAGGTCACCTAGATATGCCCCCCATTTATGCTACCCGATTGAACATTGAGGCAATCAACTATTTAGCCAAGTGTCAGATAAACCCTAAAGTAAACTTATAGTTAACTTTGACATATATGAAATAATGACTAACATATTTAAAAATATATTATATTGAGTATTTAGTTTTGGTTATTTGACCCCTTCTCACCTAGTCTCGCTTCAATCGTCGGCAAGCATTGATGTCTGTGGCAATAGGTTTTCGACACTTTTTGTCCCAAGTTTTAGGACCCATATGATTCGACTATGGTGATGTACTAATGAGATTAGTGTCGTCTTTTTTACACCTATTTATACTTTTTTTGTCATTGATGTGGAGAGCCTCCACGCCTTCCTGACTCCACGCAGGTTCTCAATCACGAGGATGTCCCGTCGACATGCGACGAGGAAACTCCCGAGGCTGCAGCAGACGACAGCGAGGCCGGCGTAGACGACTGCGTGGAAAACTTTACAGCATTGAAGCTGCACTGAGGTTCCCAAGGACGCTGTGCTGAACCTCGACGTGTCCACGATGATTGCTTGTGCATCCGCACTGACTAATGGCCGCTGTCACTTCCGCTTCCGCGAGAACGTGCTGACCGAGCAAGCCGAGAGTGAGCGCCGCAATCCCATCCGGCCTGCCTTAGACGAGCTGTTCGCAGACCGCAAGCTCGTCTGCTGCCAGTCTGCCTACGACGACTTCTCGACTATCGTGAAAATCATGGCCGGACCGTGCGAGACAGAGGCGGCACACAGACTTTTCGAAAGACTTGAGGTCGTGCCAGACTCTCCCTCCGAGCGGGCCACAGGGCTCGCACTTCGTGGAAAAATCAGGAAGCGGTCAAAGATCATCTTTGGGACCGGCGACCGGCTGAAGGCGGTGACTGTGACCGCGAACAGTGGGTTTCTGAGAGCCGCGAAAGCCCAGGGCGCCGACTTTGTCGCATTTGTGCACGAGTCGCGGGCGTTGACGGAGGCAAAGGAAGTCAACGCTACGCCAATCTAGGACGTATTTTTTTCGAATTTAAGCCTGGTGCTAGCTTGCTTTGTCTTTCTGTGATGTTGAAAAAGCACCACTTGTAGGTGAAGGGAGGTCCAAAGTCGTGACTGGAGACTGTAGGGTGTGATCGCTTTGCTGAGATAGCAGACGTATCACCTAGTGTGCAGTCTTGTCTGCCAAACTCCTGGTCGTTATCTGCTACTCACTGGTCGCAAGCTTCATGCTACGTATAATTTCAGGCGACTGTTTTCATGTCGGGACTGCAATATCATGCTGTCTTGACAGCTATTGTACTTTAAGTTAAAGCTACTGATTCAGTACCCATTGTATTAGGATTATCATTTGTCTGATAGCCACTTTAATATCAACCTGACAGTCTGGTCACTTCTCTTTTTTTAAATAGCTTGCTGGCCAAGCTGCCAGACTTGTTCTTTAGTTGGTATGTGGGTAGGTACCATTGGTGTAAATTTAAATGCAAGCAAAAATAAAGTAACTGGAATCGCGTTTTATCAATATAACTGTATTGATAAATATCGTACGGGCCCTTCCCAACCTCCAAAAAAACAAGTATCACTTATCAGTGATCGCTTATGCAGAATTATAAGAGCTGTGCTTAAACTTACATCAACTGCACCTAGCTACAACCAATGGCTTCAGAAGCACAAGTCTACTCTTAAATTGCCTTAGCATTTGCCCGTAAATAAAAGTGGCAAAGATTTTGTACAGACTTTTTTTTTTCACAACCCAGAGTATTATCTTCACTTGCAAGATATGCCTTTTGGTGGTTATTTGAAATGAAATTGCAGTAATTCATAATTGATTTGCTTATTAATGAAGACTCATTATTGTATTCTTTACTTGCCTTTGTTGTCCATGCCACGGAACGCTGTCATATTTGGAGTGTTTTGATTGGTAAAGCAGATAATGGACATTTCCAACAGACTCCTATTGTTGCACTTAATGCCTTCAGATGTGTCGTCGTTACAACAACACTCCATGCATTTGCTCATGTTTTGAAACCAACTACTGTATTCTGTAGTCCTTGTCTATACTAGGAATGTCACTTGAATCTCCCGCTAATTTCCTCTGAATTACCTATAACTTATTGATGTGGTTGCGCAGTGAACAGTCTTGCGGCTCACTTCAGTTCTTGCCGTGATTGTGTAAGAATAAGTGCCTGCTTTGATACTGGCGCGAGATCGTCGATAGTCGATGGGCAAGGTATTTGAACCACCAAGCTAATTGCTTGCTCAAAACTGTTCTGATGTCATTGTGCGATGGGAAAATGAACTGCTTCTTCATACGTATGTGTGAGTGTTTCTGTTTGAACTTAGAAGCTGCGCCTCGTTACGGTGGTCTAGTGGCTAAGGTACTCGGCTACTGACCCGTAGGTCGTGGGATCGAATCCTGGCTGCGGTGGCTGCATTTCCGATGGAGGCAGAAATGTTTAGGCCCATGTGTTCAGATTTGTGTGCACGTTAAAGAACCCCAGGTGGTCGAAATTTCTGGAGCGCTCCACTACGGCGCCTCTCATAATGATGTGATTTTGGGACGTTACATATCAATCAACTTAAAAGCTGTTGTTTCGAACGAATCTTTGGATGACCGATAGCGAAGTCAAACGAGAGTTGAAGAAGTCTACCCGCGTGGTGATCGTTCACGGGAACTGTGTGAACACAACTTGAAGTACCTTACAGGCACAGTTTCGTTCGGTTTCATTTCATTCCCCTAATTTTATGCACGTCCCAATTGCAAAAGCTTTGAAACAGCAGTACTCAACACTTGCGTGTTGATGGCAAGAGCTCGGAGACGCCGTTAAATAGAGTACTTGCACGGTTTTGAGACATCACAAAAGGGACATGTTAAGTTTCCTCGGTACGCATTAATGCACGCCGCAGTTGGACAGCACATATAAAATACTTTACTCCGATTATGAAGTTTTCATCGCTGAGCAATCTGCAAGCCAGCCCCACTGCAGTGGACATTATCCCAACGAGCCGACACAGCTCCACTGAGATTGCGAATTCTATGACCTGCATGCTGTCAAACTCACAGATGTTGCAGTTGGGTTCACTGCACGACAATTCACTTAGCATTGTTTACGTGCGTCACAAACAGATGACAAATTTGCCGCTAGTATGTCGCAAATTTCTGTCTCCTCGTGATATCGCATTGCGATGATACGTCACTGAGAAGCCCCCTATCCCCCGATATGTCAGCTAAAAGATTTTTTCCAAGGTAGCGGTATATTATAAATATATTCAATGCATTCTCACACCAGAGTACTCTTTTTAGGATTCTCAGCACCATGTACTTTATTTGCAGGTACAATCCGCAAATACTTTAAAATTCACAACAGTGAATTTTAAAGCATGCTCGAATGACAGCAACACTGACAGCTACATACCGTATTTACTAGATTATACCGCGCCCTCGATTGTAACGCGCACCCAATTTCCACGACGAAAAAAAAAAAAAAACGTAAAATATCGATTGCAACGCGCACCCATTTTTCTCGCTGGCCCGAACCATCACACCACTCGACAAAACGACTCCTTTCGGGAGCGCCTTCCATTTAAATACGAGGTACGGGCGAAGCTTGTGCCCATCTGACGTGTAACAGAGCATTGCCGTCACTGTAGTTTTACCGTGGACTGATGTCAGCACGCGAACTTGCTTCGCCCCCTTCTCGATGGTTGTGGTGCCAGGCATGTCGAAGTAAAGAGGCGTCTGATCGGCATTCCCGATTTGCCCAAGCAGGTAGCCGTTGTTGTGCCGCAAGTTTAGGACGAACCTCTGAAAACTGTGAAGCTTTTCATCGTACTCCTCCGCAAAACTTTTTGCATATGCCCGTTCCCGTTCGGAGGGATAAGCTTTTCCTCTTCATAAAGTTAGTTAGCCAGCACCTGCTCGCTTTAAGCTGGCTCCGCATTAGCCCTTTTTCTAAGGCCAGCTGCATAGCCTGCACTTGGAGCAGTTCTGTCGACACGGGCCGCTGTGCCGCTCACTACTGCTCAATCACATACTCGCCGAGCAGCTCTTTCATTTGCGAAAACCGACCCTGCTGTGGTCCACTGAAGCCTTTGCGTGAAGCTTTGCTGTCGACAATCTTCTGCTTTTGTTTCCACCGGTTCCGCACGCACGTTTCAGGAACTCCGAACGACCGCGATGCGGCCCGATTTTCGTCCGTTTCTGCACACGCGATGACTTTTCTTTTAAAAGTGGCATCGTGGTGCACTCGAGTTTTTGGAGTCGGCCCTTCCACGCCATCGATGCTAATGCACTACAAGATGACGAACTCCTCAGCACACGTACGAAGTGCCGCACATGGGAAACACATAGGCAGAAAGGGCCGACGCGCCATGCCGACGCACGCAGGAGGCGGCCATTTTGAAATGCCGATGGCAATAGAATGACCGTATTCATTTTTTTTCGTACTAGATTCTAACGCGCATGCGATTTATGAACTCGCTTAACCGGAAAAAAGGTGCGCGTTAGATTTGAGTAATTACGGTAGTAGCCTCTCATTGAAGAGAAATCCCTTAAACGAAATTGCTGCTGAAGCGGAGCAACCCTGCTCATCACTCAGACAATGGAACTCTTTCTAAACAGAACATATTATCCATGGTTTATTTAGACTCTATATAACAAGAGTGTACTGCACTGTCACTTGAGAGTTCATTACTTCCAATGAAATGACAAACATTGCAAATCGCAAACTTAACATATTTTATTCAAACAACACAAGCGGTCTGCAAAAAGCATCCGTCATCCTTCGCCGTCACGGACGGTTTTGAAAGGCAACTTCATAAGGCAGACAAACTTGAGCGTTTGCTTTTTTTCCTCGTTATTTCAGTGAGAACGAAGAATACAAAACGAAAATGGAGAACACAAATGAAAACATCTTGGTGACGAGATTTTTCACATTTGCATCGACAGCGTGCTGGAAAAACAACAGACTTTGTCCAGCAGACTACTAAATGCCAGCATTCTTGAACACATTTTTCTTTTCGTACAGAAGCTTTGTGAATTATGAAGGCTGCTGCCAGCAAACCAATGCTATTTGCAACAAAAGTTATGGAACAAAAAAAATTAAAATGAAGGCACCAACAGTGAGCAAAAGGTCACCTCAGCTTGCAATGTTCTGACACCCTATTTTTTTTTTTTTTCGGCAAGGTCAGTTAGGGTTGTACACATAGTAAGTTTTGAGGCTTAAAATATTGAACTATTAGCACCAGCAGTCAACAGAATAGTTTTCAAATAATGAACAGCTGTTTACATTGTTACGCTGAGAACCAGTAATCATGTGTACATTGTATTTTTTCGATTTAACGTTTTTGCCAGATCACACAGTTGCCAGTCGGTTGCTGGGTATGAAATTACTAAGTTTGTCACTGTAGCAGATTATGAACCGTACATTAAAAGCACAAGGCTACTAGAAACAAGTGGGCAGTTTATTTTTGTTTTCAGTACTTTTTTATTAACTAATGTGCAGTTTAGCTAAAAAAGTTCTAGCTGCCGACTTGGCATGCTCCCTTGTAATTCACGCTTTGTGCCTACCATGGTCTGCAAGACGAAATTATCAAACTTTGCCTCAAATTGTACATTTGATATTATACAGCTGCTGAATTTCAGTATTCAAAAACTATTTGAAACATTGTTTACAGTCAGAAGTAGTGATGATTCAATTGAAAGACCAAATCAAATGGGTCAACAATCGCTTCATCGCTATGAAGTTCTTAACATTCACACACCCCTAGACATATCAATTATTCCAAGCATTCTAAGGCACACCTTGCTGTTTTCAATTGTGCCAACTCTGAGGATGCCACATGATAGTCAAAGCAGTACATTTACGGGCGGCACATTCGCAGAACCGCTCGTGGCAAAGTTGTAATTCGACTGCGCGGGACTGGTCGAAGGTGAAGTTACGTAGTACTTGCGCAAAGGTATTGGGTACATTGCACCGAAACGACGTGCTGTATTTGGTGATAACATGAGAAATTCATGCAAGATCCAGCCCACAAGACAATGCTGAACAATTGCTTTATCACCGAAAGAACTGTGCAAACTGGAGTACATTGTCATCTATAGTATTCTAGCTCTGCTAATATAACAGCTTGACTTACCGAAAGATAAAATTTTGTTGTTTCTTTAAATATATTATCCTTCAATAAAAACTGATGTAAAAAAAGTAATCTATAAAATTAGCCAGGATGTTTGTTTCATCTGAAAACACGAACGACACAAGGTGGATTTTCACGGTTGTCTTTACCTCTAAACAAACATATACATTCGACGTCGCGAAAATGACCATAGTTGGCGGCGTGTCACTTAAACACTACATTGTCACTGACTGTACAAAGACACAATATGCATCTTCAAAGCTATAAAATAAGCTTACGTAGCTATAGAATAGACCCATAGAATAGGCCAGTTGATTATCTAGGTGTGCTGGCTGATAATTATATCAATGAACTGTGCAGATACGCTGCAGTGTTCCCAATCACAAGTAATTCACTTGAGAGCTGGGCAATCGTACATTCACCGGAAAGAATAGTTTAGATGTGCTTCCTGTAAAAGTAGGCAGCCCGAAATGTCGTTCTGCATGCAAACTAATCAGTATCAACGTAATCGGATAAGTGTTGAAGAAAAATCTTCAGCGTCTTCATCACCTTCAACTCTTGTTACAGTTGTATATTGGTCCACAAGCAGCAAGGTACGCGATTACTGATGTGTAACAGTCCTGCGGAGGTGAGATCAGACCACTTAGCTTTGTCAAAGCTTTACCTCTGGCATTGAAACATGATTAGTATGTAGAACGCGAACAGCAAACCAAATTAGTTCGATACTGGTACCACTGCATGAACACTATAAAAGCTCTTCGTGTCCCAAGAGTTTAGGAGGGCAGATCGGTGAAGCTCTTTGCACGCTCTTCTAAACAGAAATGCCGCTGCGTTCGTCTGAAATTTTAAGGCACTGCGCTTTATATTTTGCGCACTTTGAGCAATAAGGTGCTGCTGGCTTACAGAAAATGGTGATGGTGGAAAAGAGTATCTGCCACAATACGCAACATGTTCAGCATTTGTACTAGCGCTCCACTGTGCTACAAAAATATGGCTATTTGTCACATCAGCAATATCTACAGCAATGCTTATTTTTGCAATGGCACATTTCCGAAGTAGGTTCTGCGTTACCTTGTAATTCACGAGATTCTCTCAAGTTCTTGGAATACTAAAAAGCTGAGCTAGCAGGTGGTAAGGATTCATCATTAAAAAAAAGAATCTAAAAGAATGCAGGCATGCAAAACACGGACAAAAAAGAAAACACACAAGACAATGTGTGTTCTTCGTTGTGAACTGGTACGTTCTTACGGATTTCTAATGTTAGCGTAGTACTGTTATCACACTTGTGGCAAAAAACACACAAGTCATGACTTCCCAACAACAGGCCATAGAGCAAATCCATCGAGCAGAAATGCATACAGGCTTCTGTTGTAATTGTCAACGGTTTTTAAGGCATACATCAATGTGGGACTTAGCAAACTTAAATGTGACCATGTGATCTACACGTCTATTCTTGTACCCGTGAAACTTGGCGAACAGTGTTTTTAATGTAACGAAATTCATGCAACGTTCCCTTGTTGAGCACAATCGCCAAGTTTGTAGAGTAAAAGCTCGTTAATGCTACTCACTTAATTCGAACTGACGCCCAAGTCTCGGAACGGCCCCGTGTATTTCTGTGGGGGGCAAACTCCCGATAATTCCAACAAGTCGGTAACCAGAGTGGCTAATACAAATTGGGAGCCCCTGGTTGTCATCACTCCTCGCAGATGTCGGTTCACAGAGATCGCGATGTGTTGCAAAACCAAACCAAATTTACTAGAGATGCAAAACAACAAAACAGCAGCATTTCTCAGCAGACGAGAATTCAGACGCTGCGCCGGAAGTCTTGGGCTAGCTGTAAACGATACTCATCCTGTCGCGACAGAAGGAACGCAAGCGAAAGCAAATTACTGACCACTTAATTTCGGTTGCATTAACTCTGCCATGTAAATAAATATGTTTTGGGGCATAAGTCGCGCCACATATTGCCGCGCGCTGACGTTGAGGCTCTCTGCTCACACCAATGCATGTTTGTGCTACTTTATGACCCATCGCTCGTTGATCACTTAATTTTTGCTGTTGGAGCTTTATTAACCTCACTTACAAAATAAGCAGCCACAAATGTGTAGTACGTAATGCCTAATTTGTGATAATGAGTCCAGAGGTGGCTTTTTTTGGGCCCACGCAGTGTGGTGTAATGTTCGTTCATTCTAGCACATGCCTGCTAATTCACATTTCTCTCAATTCAAACAATTTCAGAGTTGCTTTTGAATTCGAATAACAAGCTTTTACTGTAAATGCGACTGTTTGCACAAGCTGCACACAACGACAAAAGGTGGAAAGCATTAGGCAATACGCTTTTAGTCCGGCAAACAAAGAGTATTGCTGAGTTACACAAAATTATTGCAGTAGAAAAGCTGTACAGGAAATGTCTTGTGGTGTAGGTTGTGAAGGCGTTTGTTTGCGTTGGATGCCGTTCACACCTGAACGAGAGAAAGTTGGATCACGTGCCTAAACATATGGTTAGCTGATGTCACGCAAACTTTATTTTCACGTCGTACTGTTGTGAAATTTCAGTCAGTTGCGTGATTTTTATGTAAGAGCCCTTACTTTCGTCTTAAATTTTCATGTTTTATGCTTTGTACAAGATTGCCTGGCAAATTCTCTGTGCTGGCTTGTACCAGATTTTGCTCTATGTTGAGTACAGAGACAGCACCGCAGGTTGTACGGAAGTGTGATGGCTGGAAAAAACAGGCTCTGGAAGAAAATCTTAAAAATGTGTACGTCTGCAAAACCAAATTGCTTACAAAAGTACAAAGAGGTCGACATGAAGCGAGGCACGTAAAAAAAACGAATGGGCAGTGACGCCCGCATCGCCACAATGTATCGATTAAACTTTAGGCCTCTGGTTTACTCAAGCGACAAAGGGGCACTGCACAGTGGATGGGGATTTCTTGGTACGTTCCTCGTTTATGATTCTTGTGGAGCGATGAAACATCGCTACTGCTAGCTATGTACACACCCCAAGATTCGTCTCTCTTGCCGGCACAATAAATTATTTTATAGTGCAACAGACCTAATCACTTCATTTGTCATCAATGCTGTAGCTAGCCAAACCTCTGTGGCAATGTTAAACATTTACCACGCGTCCAATGAAAAACATTTGCGGTCAGCTCTTTTATAATTTTCCTGCACCAGCAAACTGGGCCGCACAATTTTGTCTTGTCTCACCAGTGCATGATAGCACAAATGACAGGGCATATTTTTTATCTGAGTGAGTTCCAGATAAAACATGAACTGTGATGATTAGACTCAAGGTGAAATCAGCTCAAGGTAAAACATGGTATGCCTAAAAGAACGCTCCCCACCATTGTTTATCGGCTGCGCAACGGCCGAGTATGATCTGCGAAAGGCCTGCACTTCCAATGGGGGTGCCGCAGCCAGCTTTGCCCGTTACTTCTGGCACCGGATTTCGAACATTTTTGCAAGGTCTGTGACGGGCCGCGGTTTGACTCTACTTTGCCTACGCCGAGACCTAGAATCAGTGAAAGTCTTGTCAAGCCCCCCATATCAACCAGCCTCGGTGTTTCCCAATCTTTACTCGGCCAGTGTAAACATCTCTACCCCCTTTTTTTGACATCACAGGCCACCACCATTACTTGCGCATTTATTTACGCCACACTCATATTGTCTCGAGGCATTACACCAGGGTGAACAGAATTAGGCTTTTCGCTGCAGAATGTGGCTCTCCAACCGCCATGTGTACTCTTTGAACCAGAGAAGTGATGTCACGCGATTCCAACTTTCAATGCGAGAGTCACGACAGCATTTGTTCTAACCTCTTCCCCATTAGCTTGTGTTATTGACGAACATTTTCTTATATACAGATGCAGTCTGCGAAGTGCAGTTTTGAAGGGTAAAATTTGTGGTGGTTGGTTGGTGTCGTATCACAGTGAGTAGGCTATCACAGGAAAAGAAGAAATGTAGATGTCGGGTGTGTATGTGTGTAGGTAAATACTTTGATTTCACATAAAGGCTAAGCTTGAGTCGCTAGCATAATTCATGCTAAGCTTGAGCTGCTAGAAGCAAAACAGCAAGTGTTGTTTAAGCGTGCATTCTGCAACTCGTAACGGACAACCTTTCAATGTATGACATTGTCGAACAAGTCGGTATTGCGTGACATCATTTATAGTAAATTTGCATATATAATAACGATGATGCAAAACGGTTTTTGTAATTTAGCGTAACTAACGTGTAAACTGTGGGGTGCAAGCTATGAGGCAGTCAATATCAACAACATACCCTTCCTTACTAGCATCACGCCTTTGCATGTTTTGCACAAGTTCATTTGTTAATTTTCGTTTCTGGTGCTCACGTTAGTGACCATGACAAAGATAAGTTCACTATAACAAGATTTCACTCTAATTACCGCAAGATTAACGTGCGGTATGTGAAAGGTACGGCATAGCATGACCATTTGATTAGAGTGCTACATAAAATATAGTTTTCATTTCATTTGGTAGCTACCAGGTGCTAAAGCAAAAAGGCCCTTTCGTGAAAAACTTTGATTACAGTGCACAATACATTTTACAACAGGCAAAGGTTTAGGAGGCCTCGAAAAAGTGCTTGGTTCTGGCTTTTGTGACGCAGCTGCTGAGGAAGTGATGGTAAGCCATTTCGATGGGGTCGGAGAAGCTAAAAACATTGGATAAAAGTGGTACTGTTAGCAAACAGAGACAAGGTTTCCTGAATGTGAATTTCCAAAATGTATGAATGTTGAAATACATGCAGTTCCATTATTCACTTTTATGAGTAGGTGCTACTAAATAAATGCTGCAAGTTTTTTTCTGAAATCACATATATTTTTTGTTTTTAGATAGTTTCACAAGTTTAGTTTATTTACTTTCATGACAAAAAAAACAAAACAAGGTTGTAATGAAACTCAAAGCAGGTTAAAATCGCTTCAAAAGAGCACAAGGTGGCCACTAAAAACTCATAAGAGCTCATTGTCTAAGTACGCTGAAAATTGTCACCTGGCTACTTGCAATAACATTTCATATGAGGAGTTCACCAAAGCCACATGCTCCAAATAACCATGATTCCCAAGCTCTCATGATGGAAGAGATCATTTTAAAAAAGCATATCTTTTTCACATAGATGAGTTTCTATTTCCACATTTAAGATGTGTTTTTTTTTTAACATGGAATCATGGGCAACTTCCTGAGATTGGACCTCATGTTTTTGGTACTTCTGATAACCCGATTGGGATGCAATTCTTCTCGCGTATTCCTTTACACGTGAATAGTGTAATTATCTGTATTGCAACCTTATATCACTTATTAATTTACAAGTGAATCTGAAGTAAGGCACTGGTATGGGCTAAGCATTCTAAAACTTCTCACATTATAATTTTTATTGTTCATTAAAATGTCTTATAGAGACCTTCTTGTTAGTTATTTGCATTTTGCAGTTACATTTGAGTAACAAAAACAAGTTGTGTAAACAAATGTGTATTTACGAAGCATCTGAAAGGGCTAAACAGACAGGCATGCGCACAGGGTGCAAAAGACAGCCACCCCCTTAGTCACTTAAGGGGGCAGACTGGTCTTTGGAACCAAAAATTAACAAAAAAATTCAGTTTTTAAAATTGACATATTTGGTTTCTGCTAGTATTTTTCAATCTCTCTGCAATTTCTCACACACCAGGAAGTGGTTATCTTTTTGTAATGTCATTCTAAGTGTCCTAGATTCTTGGTGATCTTAACATGCAGAACCTGCAAAAAAAAAGGGGGGGGGGGTAACGGACTTCGAGTCTTCTTTAGAACTTGCCGGCACCTGTGTCAGAAGCTCTGCTACGAATGTATGAGCACCTTTATGAGGATTGCAAAACATGCACACCATAATTGTTGCTTTTTGAAGAAGGTGCACGTTTTCAGTTTTTTCCATTTTTCTCAAAAAAAGTAAATTTACGACTGTTCAATTTTGAGGCCTCAATATTTCTGTAGCTAGACAGTCATAACAATAATTATTTTTGCAATGGAAACCTGTATGTGTGTAGAATACAAGTATGGAAGCAGAATTTAGAGCACAAGCCTTTTTAATTAATTAATCATCAAAATTGTAACACAATTCGAACTGCTTTTGAAAATGGATAGTTTGTTTTGCTGTAAAATAACCAAAGAAGGCCTAAAAACGAAATTCTTGCATACTTTCAATCTATAATCACTAGTCTATGTTGGCATATCTTAAATATCACTTTTAATTAAGCAATTTTTTGCTATGGCAGCCTTAAACAATAGGGGTGAACTTGAGTTATCTCGGGAACAAAATAAGTAACAGGAAAACTAAATAAACATTTGAAATCAGCAGAAGAAACTGCTTAGCCCTGTGCAGTTTGATCAAGATCACTGAAGAAATAAACCAGAAATGTCTAAAACCAGTCTGCCCCCTTACGAGGGGGTTGGGGGTGCAAAATTTATGCCACACATTGACATAATAAGGGACGGGGGCACTGCAATGAATTAACAAGAACCCTTTGGTTCAAGGCACGCCTATGGTACAACGCAATGCTAACCTGGTTACACGAAAAAATTCTAAATAAACTCAAGGCCTACCCTTCGAGTTTTGCTTCGTCGACGTCGTCGACAGCGACAAGGTCGTTGGCGCAAATGCTGTCGACTACTATAGCATTTGGTAGAAGGCACACAATCTGGACGGGAAACTTGTACTCGTTGAGGCAGGCGGCAGCCATTTCTTTCGTTGCTCGATCAGATTTGAAGCTGGCGTACACCTTAAAAGAAATCTCACATGGTTACCGTGCCGCCACATGTGACAGCATTTTGCCCTTTGTTCTTAGAAAAGTTTACTGAAAATTAATTAACAAATGTCTACAGTCAAGTAGAAATTTCCATCCACTCAACCTTAGCACTAAGCTACAAGGAGAAGCTCGGGTTGCTTTGCAGCTTGTCACTAGAATTGACAACAATTTTCTCGTTCATTAAAGGGACAGTGAACAACGCCTCGTGGGCTTTTGCAGAACTAACCTGCCATACTATTTACCTTCAGGTTCATTTAATCACTAAATGTTCTGGTAAAATGTCCTCAGTAAAAATTTCCAGCAGTAAGTCGTCCATTATATACTGAACCATCGAAACACACATTTCTCAATATGCCATGGCAGCTCAGACTTCCTAACATTGGCATTCAAAAAAGTACAGCCAACTTGAAATACATTACTCGGGTCTGGTTATTTCAATTAGCGACTATTTGGGACACCAACTGAAATCTCAGCTGATGTCTGTATGTTCTATGAGGGGATCTATATATTCATTTCCGGATAAGTAAATTAGTCCTAATCACACAATTCAAACTTTACTGGTCAGCAAGCACATGATTGAGTTCTCTGGTGACTGTCTCAGACATGCCAGGAAACACTGCGATGCAATTCGCATAGAAGGTTGGTCAACTTCTCATGATCTACTGACTTTCAATGAGCCCTTGGCAATAGTACTTCATGTGAGAAGCACGGCTCTCAATTAATGAGAAGCACACTTGACCAGCAATAGGGTATACCTTCCTAACAAGACTCTTACTGCATTTTTAAAAAGTAAATCAAGAACTTGCACGTTACAATCACAAATGCACTAACTCTGAAACATTTGCGGAATTGGGCATAGCCTGCATTAAACACTATTCTTATGCAAATGTAGTGAGAGAACCGGTTTTCGAGGAAGTTTGGTGGTGACAAGTGTTGCCTACAAAATTGCAACTCAAGTTACCTGCGAATGAAATTAAATTCTATCAATCAATGTTCAAATGAATGGAACAGAGCAAAACCGTCTCTGTCATAGCTGAATCAGCAGAACTAGGTTGTGTAAATGGCATTAGCAGGTTTTATCAAACATATGTTGCCACAGGTAATGCTATAAAAGTGAGATCACAACATATTTTCTTAATACTGTCTCCATTAAACTTCACATTCATCTGAGGCCTGCAGAGTTTACTTTGATTAAAGAATAATTTTGTTACCTACGCTAAGCTTTAAAGGGAACAGACAAGGAAATAATTCATTGCAGTTAAGAACCTATTCATTGGCATCATACATTTATGGGGGATAAGTTTTGTAACAAACTCGATTGCAGGACAGTTGGTGCACGCTGTCATTATAATCGTGCAACTTTATGCTGAAAATCTGAATATGCAGCCCCATGCCCAGCTTAAATTGATTTGTATTCTGGTGCTTAACGAGTCAATTCCTGTATCCCTATCAATAAAATTCCTGATTCTGAGAAACCATGATTTGATTATGAGGCACAAATCAGATATTCCAGATTATTACGCAACACTTCAAGTTTTATGAAAAGTGCCAGAATCTCAGTATACGAGCGTCTTGGCATTTCACTCGCAACAAAACGCAATCATCATGGTTAGGAACTAAAAGCCACATCCCCAACCTCAGCGTTGAAACAGAAACATCTCAGCAGCCAAATTACCACAATGTGTCTGTTATGCCCAAGCTGCAAAACTACCGAGCCATTCAGAGGACCCCGTATTCGGCCGAACTTTGCTGGTAGGAGCACTTACCTGTAGCTCGGCAGTCAGGCTCCACGAGCTGACAAAGTAAGCCTGCAGAAGCTCTTGAACCGCGGAGGAAGCGAGCGGACCCTGACGCAGGGTCCGAGCACTTCCTCAGCACGACTGGTCATCCAGCGGACCCCAAGTGACGATGGAGTGGACTAGCTTTTCGTGCCGCTTGGCTTCTGCCGCCGCTGCACTCAGGTTGTGGTACGGAACCTGTAATTGCATTAAGGAATCGAATATTTCGCAGACTCATTCATTCATTTATGTAATTTAGAGCAGAATACCGCTCTCACTGGCTTATTATAGGAGTATGAGTAAGTAGAACAAAACATGTTGCAAGGCTAGCTGGTGATGCGTCTTTAAAGTATTGTAGTGCTACACTTGATAAGGACAAGACATAATTAATATGACAAAACAAACACTCGTCCTGCCGTGTTCTTATCGGTATCGCTCGTCAGATGCAACAACACAATATTTTAACTATCTAAGTTAGGTGCATTAAAAGTTAAGCTAGCTTACTATGGCAAATCTTCAAAGGATTTGAACCATCTCTCGATCTTGGTGAGAAAACACATCCTGCGGGTAAGCAAACGCTTTTATGAACATCTCAGACAAATTTTGCATTCGTCTGCAGCAAGAGAGAGTCTAAAAGCAGAGCACAATGTTGCCATCTTCTAAGGTGCCCTCTTTCCATAAGGACGCCAGTGCTCACTCTCTTCAGAACTGCTGGTGGCGGCTGTTTGATGAACTGCATACGGTATGCTATTGGCTGCATAAATATATGCCATAGGTGACATGAATCTAAAGCGATGTTTAGATCAGATGCACTTCTTGCCGTGGGGTGTCGCCACATCCCAGCACCACCATACATAGTCTACTAACATTACACAGTGAGCAAACCTACCACACCTGGGGATTCACAGCATGAAAGAGCGATCGCATTTCAATGCACACTGAAAGGTTATAACGCACGCTGACGTAACTTCACCTTCCTTGCCATAAATAGCTTCCTCAGTAGCTTCTAGTGCATGTGCTAGGACTTTAGAAGAGAGAGAATGTTTAAAGCGTATGACAAACATCTGTAGCTCCACCCGTCTTTGATGAATTTGAGAAACATTTGTAGCAATCGATTTGTGTGGAAGTAAATTCCGATACTGAGATTGTTCCAAGATTACTCGAAAAAGTGGTTCAGGGCTCGTTGAAGATGTACCATATTGTACCTTCTCCAACACCCTAACATAATTCAAATCCTGCAACTATTCGAATTCATTTCAAAGTTATTTGATACTAATAGCATCCACTTCGAACCAAAAAAGTGATATTCACTCAAGAGTAAAGATCAAGCACTCACAGGTAGTGACATACCTTGAGGAATGGGAAAAACATTTGATGCAGCTTTCTGAGTGCCTCGTCCTTTTTGTCAGAGCTTATCAATGACGAGTGCATTTCGGCAAGCTGCCCACCGGGAGAGTCCAGGCTGAGTGACATTTCAGCAACCTTTCCAATATCCACTTCAGTTCGCTGGACGTCCCTGTTGTGCTCTTCCACTAGCCATTCCAAATCTGTAAGCAAATGAACGAATGAATACTGCAAGAACAAAGAGGGGCAATGGAGCTCAGGCAACGTCGCGGGATCGAATCCTAGTCACGGCGGCCGCATTTTCGACAGAGCCAAAAATGTTTGGGGCCCATGTACTTGGATTTAGGTGCACGTAAAGAGCCCCAGGTGGTTGAAATTTCCAGAGCCCTCCACTCCATAATCATATGGTGGTTGCGCGACTTTAAACCCCAACAATTATTATCATTACATTAGGGAGCTCGGGCACTCGCACTCGAAAGCAAAGGCAGAACAGAACAGCCAACCCTAACAATGGGCACCGTCTCTGCTTCTCTCATCGCACTAACTGGCTGACTAAATAAATAAAATGATGGAAAATTTACTTATGTGGAATATAGCATACCACTTTCGAGGCAAAGCATTCAGGCAGGAAATCAGGCAGTTGCTTCGATTACAATTCCAATTAATTAGAGATATTCAATTTGTTTACAAGTAAAAACCGACTTAGCTTAAGTGTGTTGACAAACAGATGCAATAGGCACACTCAAAAGTCTGTCACTTTATCACATGACGGAGCAGGGTTTCAGACTTTGTAATTTTTATTTCATTATTTACAAGTGAAAAATTGTTAATAACTTTTTAGTGACAACTAGAGTATAAATGAGTCGCTGATTGTGTGAGAAATAACAGAAAAGTAATTAGTTGAAGTTTCTAGACCTCAATACTCAAGTATAGTTGCTAATTAGTTCACTTTTTTTTTCGGGTGCACGTTAAAGAACCCCAGGTGGTCAAAATTTCCGGAGTCCTCCACTACGGCGTCTCTCATAATCAAATGGTGGTTTTGGGACGTTAAACCCCACAAATCAATCAATCAATCAATTAATTAGTTCACTTTATCACATTTATTTTAAAAGCGAAGCACTTTAGGGCGGCAGGCCACCATACGTTGTTGTTGTCACTTGGCGGAATGGAGGTCAACCCACATAGACCCTAGCCAGCTGTAGCATATTGAGCGCATGCTTGCGCCAAAGACGTATTTTTCCGGCTGTTTCTCAAGCCCCTTGATCATGATATAAAGTGCAGAAATTATTACTATGGCTAGGAAAATAAGGCAGCACAAATCATGCATAAAAGTTGAAAGAGGAAACAACAAGGAAAAAAATAGGAAGAAAATTGAAATTAAGAGAGAAAGACAAAGAAGAAACTCGAAAGAAGAACAGAAAAAGAAACTGAAAAACGGACAGAAGCAAAGACGGTTGTCCAGCTCAGCACCACTTGAGCAAAGCTGCCTTTATTTATTTTTTTCATTCGTACAATTCTAGATTGCACTATTTTCAGAGGCAATTTTAGCACAATTATACACAAGCAATAGTTAAATTTTAGTGACCAGAGCCGCGTATGACGGCAAAAGTTTGTAAACCGAATAAACACTCCAGATTAACGATGTTTGTCTGAAGTGCAGAATAAACCCAGCAAACAAATACATGTCAAAAGGAAACAGTGTTCGTCAGTTATGGAATATTTTGTACAATGAGCAGACGATAAATGCAAAGTATACTGATCAAGTTAACGATAGTTCTGACTGAAATTTGGTGAATTTTTAAAATTTAGTAATTTTTTTTCACCTTGTTGACTATAATCGCAATTCACATTTCATAATAGTTACTAGCGCTAGCCTTCACACCCGGCACTTTTGATAATTTAAAAAGTAACATTAAGCACATTGAATTTAAGTCTTGCAATAATCTTGCTTGTTACACACCAGGCTCAGTTGTACCCCCCCAGTTCCTGATATTTTTGATAACCTCGCTTCTTAACTTCGAAGGGTGAATGCTTCTTACATATGCTTTCTAGCAGACAGAGAGAGAGGAACAACTTTATTTCTTCTAGCTGACATACTTTAATGCTTATCTTTCTAGCACAGTAAAATGCAATTACAACTTCACTGTTTAAGAAAAATTAAAACATTGGCTGCACATACCAACGTTGAGCTGCCGGTTGGTAGGGACGTAAGCCTCAAAGTGATGCAGCGCAGAGCCATCATCGCTGATCACTACTCGGCCTTGGAACTGGGCGGGTGTAAACCAAAGCGGCTTCAACGGTGGTGAGCTGATCTGGAACTCGACGTGGGATCTGTCGGCACAAAGGTAACAGGCTGCTCTCTGAAGTCAGTGTCGCTTTGTGCAGTGTGGTGCGGTACACTTGCAGAATTTCGATGCGAGAATCATTGCAAATGTACAAAGGTCGACCTTAGGCACTCCAGACACACGATACAGCACAAAAAGAATGCCGTTGTAACTGTTTAAGATGAGCAAAATGGTGTAACTGCCAGTTTAAGGTTCATCTCCCGGGGCAGCATTCTGAGTTGGAGGTATAGCCATAACATCACTTTCAGTGTGCGCTCTGTCTTTTCAAGCAAGGACGAACAGTCACTTCAGCCATTAGCCATATAAGATTCTACATGGCGCAAAGTGACACTGTCATCAAGAGTAAGCATTTTAGAATACAGCTCCTGAAAAGGAAGAACACTATACGAAGGATTGAGAGACGGTGTTATTATGTAATGCTAATACTGAGAACTAACTGTCGAACACGCCAAAGAAAGTATAGGGGATGTCATTAGAGGTAATTGTTGCTGTTAAGTGTGAAGAAAGAAAATAGAACAAAATGATAACATACCACCGGCAAGTCCCTCTCAGGGACAAGTTACCTTATCATCTACTTTTGTTTCTTCACATTTACATTAAATTTACTTCTAATATCACCTATACTTTTGTTGGCATCACTCTCTGTTATTTCTCAGTAATATTGTGTCAGACAATTAAAAATGGGCCCTTAAATTTACGTCTCTTTCCCATATATAATTCTGTTTCGTGTAATATATGTTGCCATATCTTGCTTTTTTCAGGAAGCAACATGCTATCAAGTGCTCGTCTGTGTCCTCTCTGAGTGTGTGTATTATTTAGCGCTTCTTTCATCATGAAACTTTACCAACACGCCCAACTGGCAGTCATTCTAAATGCTATCAATGCTGACCGAAATTGTCCTCCAACCTGAAGAGGATATCCAGCGTGCCGTTCCCACTTCTCATAACAACTGCAGCAGTCCCAGCTGGTGCCGCTCTCGTATCAAGAAAGACGTTTCGATGAAACATGCCGAAGAGCTCGCCAAGTAGGGCCTCAGCTGGCGTTCCACACGCCGACGGTTCGTATATATCTGCGTGCACGTGTCCATCGGAGTTCCGCGAGCCTTTCCCCTCCACTAGCCACCAGGGATTACAGTGAATGTTACCGCGAGGTGGCAGGAAGGCCGAAAACCTGGACAGCGGCACTGTTCTTACGTGCTGCTGAGGTTCGTTCCATGACAGGAGGGCACGAAGGCTGCTGTTGGAGTCCTGAAATAAGTGCGCGACAAAATTTAGGGGTATTAACGCCTTCAAAAGAATAGAATTCACATCCTCAGAAATAGAGCTTCAGCTATGATGTGTACTAGTCGTGTGTTCAAACTATTGTACCAGCCATTACATAAACAAGGCCCATTTTTTATGGTCTGATTGGCCACATAATAAAAACCACAGTGAAAGTGTGATCATGCAATGCACACGCATCTTGTTCAATCTCTCTAATACGTCCACCTACCGCACGAAATCACAGCTCTCAGTTCCGAGCTCATAGCGGACATGTAAACCCGCCTTGTATAATAGACACTGGCACTGATTGCGTGCTGTAATTCAATTTCCGCATGCTGAGGGATGCAGCACAGCTGAAATTTTTCGGCGAATGAGTGATGAGTCAGAACTTTCACGAGTCACAGCAGGGTGCGCCAGAGGTGCCTAAAAAGACGATCCAGATCGAACTACAGTCGAGTCTCGTTAATTCAAAGCTGAAGCGATTACGTCGCTTCGGCTTTGAATTAACGAGACTTGACTCGAGGTCAGGTGACCCCACAGGTTATGATTACTTTGATTTTTTCAGATTAAAAAGCTTTTAAGCCTTTTTAAACCCTAACTACACGCAGTGAACAGAAAGCAGAGGTGTAAGGTCCACAAGTTTATCGGCCATTTACTGCTGATCAGACCTTTTAAAGAAATCGTCCATTGCCAACTGCACCTTTGCTATATGTGTTTCAGCACAACACTCCCTATAGCAGTTGAGAAGCATCACGGTTTACCATGCACATGCTTTGTTTCAAACATTTGTTTACTAGCAAAGCCTTTTTCCTTGAAGGCCTGAGGCACTTATTTCTCATTTTTTAGACTGTCAGGATTATATAAGCACTGCAAATTTTTAAATAATACTGGGAAAGCAGCAGATGTTTTCTGGTATGCATCCGCAAAAAGCATGATTCAAGCAACTAATAAAGTTTGAATTAAGAGGCTTTTAAATACATTGAAAGAATAGAGGGCCAACCCAAAAATTGAATCAGTGTTTGAATTAACCAATAGTACAAATTATTAGAGTTTGAATCATCGTGAGTATACTGTAACAGAAATGTTATCAAGCACTACCCCGACAATGCACAGCTGTACGGCCCTTCTGCAACAAAGAAGCTCCTTCAGTGCTTACAGCGGGAAGTGTTCGATACGTGGCCCACTATACAGCCTGGGATAGGCTCGCTCTGATTAACATCTCTTTGCCCACATGAAACACTGGCTAGGAGCACGGGTGTGCCACTCACACAGCGAGCTGCAGACCAGTGTACAGAAAAGGCTGAAAGAACATTCAGCTGCATTCTACAAAGAAGGTATCGAGAAGTTGGAGCCCAGCTACGACAAATGCCTCAATCGAAATGGCGACTATGTAGAAAGTAGTCAGTCTAAATATTACAAAAAATGCAGTTTTGATATTCGTTTACTCTTGTATTCACCGATCGCACCTTGAATAAAGACTAGCAGCTGTTCTTTGAACGAACATAAGTGATGAGCGAAACTCCTTTTAAATGTGACACGAATGACTATGTGGCTGATCTCGCTGCTGGCTTTCATGGAGGCAGGCGGTAGGGGGTGCGGGTCGGGAGAGTGTTGGGTGCGCTCGAGTGTGGGAACGTCTGAGCAAGTGAGTGTGCGATGCGGTCACCGCAGCCATCTGGCGCCGTGCCTGCTCCCTGTGGTGGGAGCACGCACCTGTTGTTCCACTCTGCGTGCTTGCGCAATGCAGGGAGTTTCGACGGTGACGGCAAAATGCAAACTTGAGGAGCTTCGCTCCTAAAATAATAATAGTAAGCCTCGTACATATGTGGCAAAGCCACACAGAATGCCTCACATAATTTAGAATGATAATATGTGGCCAAGTTTCATCAAAAGCATTGACCTCTAGATCAATTTGGCTCAGTTGGGTTCCTCACTCTTGACTGACTTAATTAGTTCTCCGAAGCATTCGATGGGGTGTTTCTTCGCTGTAGGTGCACCTAAGCCCAAGGCTGTACCAAGCACAAGTACAAAAAAGAAAACAAAAAAACACATACTGCACACACAATGCGATGTAGAGATAGTATTCACACTTCTGCCTAAGTATGTTTCCTTGAGCAAATTAAGGGCGATCTCACAGCGAATGTGAGATTAGAAGCTTCTCGACGGAAATTCGAACAGCACAAAATCATGAGGAGACATTAGAAAGAAATAGTGAGCAAAAATTTTTCTCCATCCAGTTGCGGTTTGATTTTGCATCATTTGAACTTCATGTATCCATACAAATTCAACCATATGTTTGATCATATTCAAGGATTCTGGTTGCATACAATGAGACTACACTGCTGCTTAAAACTGCTTTCTCCTTAAAACTATGGCAGCAATTTCAATTATACACTTCCTGCTGGTTTATTCTCTATAATATATTGCATCGCTCAAGAATTCTTGTTAGAACATCAAGGGTATATTGTGTTTGTCTTCAAATTATAATTATACTCACAAGTTTGAAAGACACATGAAAGTGGACGACTTGTAATGTTATTGAGCTAGATTCTGTTGGGTACTTTACGTTGCCTTTAACTCTTGAATGCTTTAATTTGCTTTGAATACCAAGTACTGAAGAGCTATGAACTGCCAGTGATCGCAAAAACAAATACAAACAATATGCATGCTATTACATATTGGATAGTCGTTCATGTTTAGGAAAATGAAGAAGACGCTGGGGGAAAACGTGCTATTCGGGAAAACGTACCATCCGAACGTGAACATAGCGCAGATTCGCTTGACAACAATATCGCGAACGGTGGAACCGAAAAATCGTATGAAACGGGAACATATGAACGAGAATCTGCTTTACTGTACATACATACATACACACACACATACAGCTCTTCCTTCAACAAAAACAAAATCAAGAATACGTATTTATTTATTCGATAAGAAACGTGTTTGTAGTGTCGTATCCAATCATGCACTGGCTGAGGCTAAAGTAACGCGAAAGAGTTTTTTAGCGCAGCAAAGCAATATCGAAGTGAGACGAACTATTAAAGACCTCGATCATATTCCCGTACATTACCAATCGCAGAAAAAGGGCGATGACACTCACCGACAACACCTCTTCGGCGACGTTTTTCGTCAGCGAACTCACGTCTATGCCTCGGAAGGAGCTTCGTATCGTGACGTTTCGGCTCTCCCATTCTCTACTCTCTCGACCGAAACCTATCGAAGCGAGTAATGCCCCGACGTTCGCGTACGCGAAAGCAAACTCAGTGTTCTTCAGGCGATCGATCAATGCGTAACAGTTCGACAATCTATCGAGAGGCCCGTCACTGCGGTAGCACGTCAGCGAAAAGATCACCGCAGCGACGGCGACGATTGCTGCCGAACCGATAACAACGATCGGACGTAACTGTCGCGACGGCGTCATAGCCGCGAATTATGCGTTAACGTTCTACATCGTCGCTTATGCGGTTGGCACGCCGGGGAATTCGCGATCGTGGCACTTTACGTCTCGATTGTTTACATAGCGCTGTGCGCACACTTCCAACACTACTACCGCAAAACATACGCGCGCGGAGCGTCGACAAGTTTCGAATCGCGTTGCGCCATGGAGGAAACCCAAACTAGGCAAAGGAACTAAATAATATTTTCTTTTTTATTCACTAAACTCAGCTAAAGCAAATATTTAGAAAATAAATATGTAAGAGGCGTACAATATTTTATTGTGATGTAAATTATTCGTGTTAGAGTTTTAATTACAAATCTCAGAGGCAATGTTTTTGTCCGCTGAGCTCATCAAACTCAAGCACAAAAAACATCATCACTGCCTTGTTTATAATGTTAAACGCTTACGAACACAGCGCTGCCTATTTTGCAGCGGTAATTTTAAAAAGTTTTGTAAAGGACGCGAAATGTTTGTTCATAAGTGGTGCTGCTTGAGATTCTCTTAGTTCCGACGCAAAGTTCAAAGCGGTTCAAACCAAAGTTGTTCAAACTTTGTTTTGAGACGTGGGGAGTTCAGAACTACCGCTTTTGACAGTGACACAGTTCAGATGCGACCACGTGCGTGGTGTTTTGGTTCCTTGGTGCAGTAGTTGCCGCAGTCTCCTGTTGTTGACATAGCGGTAAGCAACATTTTTTAAGCAGTTTCACTTCCGTGGCTTGTGGTCCATTAGCCGCTTTAGTTTAGTTGTGCTGTATTGCCAGAGAACACGTACCAACGCGCAAACGGTTCGCATTGAAAACTCTGCTTACGGTGCCTGTCGTGAGAGTTTTTGCGTGCGTACGGGCGTAAGTGCGTGCAAAGTTCATAATTTACCTGAACCAGTTACTCAATCACTCTTTCACTCCTCTCCGATCAGGCTCATTTATCACAATGGTGTCCCTGCTGTGCGAGCTGCAGTTTTGGACCATGAAAGATGACGTCGATGTCAAAGGTATCTCCCAAGTTTCTCGTCACTTCTCGCGCGTTTTGCTGGCCCGTTTCTGCTTGTCTGTGGTGTTCGCAATCGTCTTCATTTCGTCTATTATATCGTTCTCCTTGCTAGGCAGTGATCTTGGATGCTTCAAGCTTTACGACAAAGGTGACGTGGGTAAGTGCAGTGCAGTTCTCTCTTCTAACGAACGAAGTTTCCATTTCGGTTTCCTTACTGTTCAGAAAGGTTTAATTAACTCAGCCTTATTATGTTTTACAGATACAGAAGAGCTGTACATCGATGCGAAGGAGGCATATGCCAAAGGTATATGTACACCTGTACTTGTAACTTGCTGCTTTCCTTGTGCCGAGTTCTCCAATCATGTACATAGCCTTTTTCATGACGAGTTCACCTCATTCATATACAACATTTCTTTTTTTTTTTTTTTTTTCACTGATAGCCAAGGGTATCATGTGGACTCCGTCCAACAAGCGACCTGAGAAACTGCGAGAATGCATCTGGGAGTTTGAGGTAAGCTATACAAGAGGGAATGGAGAAACATTGAGAGTTCTGGCTCTGCACTGTAACGGTATCAGATCCTTTCATGAGAGACTACTGCATTCTCAAAAGCCCTTCTTTGCAATGAAAACTTGCAGCACCTACAGGTGGCGCAATCAGTCCATTGCACTGCTAGCACCATCAGTGGCGAATTGCAACCACTTCACTTTCATGCTCCGAATCGTTGTCTCTCCATCAGCTATGCCCACGTTGTACGCAAGTGTGGGCAAGCGACAGGCTTGGTAAAATAAGCAGGCTTTCGGAAACTTAACAGTACGTGATTCTCTTGTGGCCTCAAACGAAGAGAAAAGATATAAATTTACGAAATCAATCATGCGTTCAATGTGACAGAAAGCACAGACATACAACTGACTGTTTTGAAAGGCGGGTATTTGTGCAAATGGCCAGCGTGAAACTCCAAGCATAGGCCATCACCCTCAATGTTTGTATGCATTCACTCTTCTCAATTTGTCTGCCTACTGTTAAGTAAACTATGGCATTTGTGTGTCACCTGTGTTAGCTAACCCCTTGCGATGTGCGCATGTAAAACGCACGACCGACGAACTGCAGGTGTTGCGTTTAGTAATTCGTGGCAGTTCCGCCAAGTTTTATGTGCACTAGTTCAGCTCCGTTTGTAGTGGTTGCCCGGGCTGCATGAGTCCTTGAGTAACTGTCTCATGACAGCTTTGCATGTGATATCGTAGGTGTTGCATCGTGTAATAGATATGGTGCGGCTTCGCTTGTACACAAAGTGCTGTAAAGGGCAACAGCAGTACCAGAGAAATTAAGTTCAAATTCCTGAGGTTCACGACGCGTTTTGCCTGGCATTCAAGGCTTCTTCCTTACCGTTGCTGTTCACGAACCGTGCAGTCTGCAAACTGCACTGCTAGACAAACTTGGGTACAGCAGAAAAACAGCAGCAAGTTACGGGGAGGAACTGCTGGATTTTTCAATGGCTTTTTGCCAACAAATGTAGACTACACTCGACCTCACTTTGCCAGCTGCCACCGAGTTTCGGTAGCACTGTAAAAATATCAGTTAAACAGCGGGGAGAGTAAATTCACAGTGAGCTAGCTACAGCATGTACTTCATAAACGTGCCCGCAGGATCTCCTGCTTTATGCGGCATACGTAAATGTTATGTTCCCGCCGGTTTCTAAAGCATGGTCATGGCGGAAAATTAAAAATCTTTGAGCTACGTAATCCTTATAGTTTTTGGCATAGCTTACGACACAAGTCATGCGCAACGTTGCCAAGCGCTGCTAACAGTCTAACACGGCTCCGCTCGTGGGTCAGGTGCTCCACAGAGAACATCAGTTGCTTTCCTTCATCCCATATCGTGGCTCCACCAACTCTGCGCACATTTCCAATGTACTCAAAGCTGGCGTCCTTGTGCTGTGGTATTTTCTGCTGTAGTCATTCAATGTAGGTATGTGTGCACTTGCGACAGCTTAAGACACGAAACCCTGGAGGAATTTTCAGGCATGAATGTTCTGCAAAGACGTCGGTATATCACAGCGATTTTGCCACTGACAAGTGCTGCAACACAAAAGTTATATACGCAGGGGAAAATTCCTGCATTTTCTTAGCATATTAGGGCTGTAGACAATAGGAGTATGACATACTGGTTTGAATGCTATGTTCGATAACGTTTATGGTGTGATGCAAAAGAGAGCGTTTACCAAAGCAGCTTCCAAAATTACTGTCACAACAAATAGTTGTTTCTTACGAGGCATCACCTGGCTACTCAGAAATTAGTTCCTGTTCAATGTCGGGCTGTGTGCTAGCACTTACATAGTTAAAGTCGATTGGACTCAACACTAAGTAACGACTGGCTACTCATAAATGTTACTTAGCATAAGAGGGCAAGTTATACATTTTCCTTGCTTCTTGTTTACTGCCCTGATTGACCCTGAAGATTAACCAATGGCTATTTCGCTCAGTTATCCCTCGCTCTGTTCTGCATGTGAAGGTTTCTCGTTGAAACAGTTGTTTTTTCTGTACTGGTCATTTCTTGTGTCAGTGTGCTCTGAAGAATATATTGCAGTTTGAAATTGTACATAAGGTTGCATGAGAAATGTGTGAAAAGTGATGTGTCAGTGCAACATCTACTCACTTGTGCAGGATATCATGAATGCCCAAAAGTGTATTAGTGCAAGATGGATTACACCTGGGCTGTTGCAGGTATGTCTACCTTTTGCAGCCAATGGTAGTTCTTGTGTGTGTGTGTGTGTGTGTGTGTGTGTGCACGTGCACATGTGTGTTTGTGTGTGTTTTACTGGCCTGCATGTGTGTTTTCTGTGAGTACGTTGAAGTGATTTCCCACCTTCATAAAGGATTTTCTTTTTTGCAGTTTTTCTTTCAAAGTGGTGTCTGCGTCTTCGTCCAAGTTGACCCCGACTCGTGCAAGCTTCGCAGGGTCAGCGTTGACCGATACCTCGTTGGCAAGCTTGCTTCGGAGCATGTCACTGACGGTGAGACATTTTTATTTTCGAGATAATTTTTCGTAGCTCATGCTGTTGGATGACCTTATCAATTGATTGATTGATTGATTTGTGGTGTTTAACGTCCCAAAACCACCATATGATTATGAGAGACGCCGTAGTGGAGGGCTCCGGAAATTTTGACCACCTGGGGTTCTTTAACCTGCACCCAAATCTGAGCACACGGGACCTTATCAAATAGCTCCAGTGCAAAAAAACAAAACAGACAAGGACAAAAAAAATCTATAAGTTCAGCACTCTACCCTGTTCTTTTGTCGTCTTTGTCTGTTTTATTGCACAGCATTTATATGTAAAGATGTAAAACTCGCCACTGTTGAAAGACATTTTGCACTGTCGCTTGCAAACACAGTTGGTGTTTGAAGCTGATGAGGTCTGGCTTCTGCAACAGTGCTCACTTCTCGCACAGTTTGACTAGGCAGTCTGTTGGTCATATTGAAAAATAAATCTACAGCCTTAATCCGATAGACCAACTTGCAGGCTACGAGAGGCACTCATAAGGTTTGTGCTGTTGGCATGAAGAAAACAATTGTGCTGTTGGCATGAAGAAAACAAGCCAGATGGGATATTGACACGAAAATTTTAGCCTCACATTTTCTTTTGCTGCAATGTGTTCCTGGGAGCCTGTTAGTCATCACACGACGAATCGTTTTCTGCAGTGCAAAGATAATTAATTACAGGCGCATTATTACCGACATGTCTTGGTTTCGGTTTCAAAAACGACAATCCACTGGATGCAACTATCACCACCTAGCGGTTGCAGCGCTCAACCATGTCAGCACACAGAACTGTGACACACTTCCACGCAGTTCGCATCAACAAGTTTTCTCGAACAGGGGACGGGACAGCAATGTCATCAGACACATAACTTTCAACTCGGTCCGCCCGCATGGGCGCCTGCACAAGTAGGCGTTTGGTGAGTAGCGACACCACGGACCCGAGCTAACGGGGGAGTTTTGGCTCCCTCCCACGCCTAGCCGTGCGTGGCTGAGCCGTGTCCGGAGAAAAGGGGATCCTGGGGGTTGAGTTGACGCTGGGTGCTTGGACCTTTAAGGCCCCCCGGCAGAGGCAACACATCCCTTTGGCCCCGGCTTCACGTAGACGGCACCCCCCTGGGCTGACCCACCCCAGGGGAAATCGGCAGTCCCCTTTTCTTATCTCTCTCTCCCTACATCTTCGTCTTTATCTCTTACTATTTATCTGTCCTGTCTTCTACTCTCTTCTGTTTACTTCCAAACTTCCTGGCGGCTAGGGTTAACCCTGTGCAAATAGCCTACCTTGGTCTAGGGGCATTGGGTTATAATAGCGTTGTACGGCTGGCATCTGCAGATTTTAGCATCCGCAAACTTGTAGCGTCCTCTCATTGGGCGGGTGGCCGCCAACGCTTCTGAAGAAAATTAAACTAGCATGCATAGAGCGTTTCCCTTGTTAAGTGATCGTACCACCTTAAAGCGCGTACGCACCGAAGACTTAGGCTTTTTCAATCGATCAAATGAAAACTTTCCCCATTTTCATGTTATACATAGTGAGATAAGTGGCAAGCAAGCCAGAACTGTATCCCCCCTTTGTAGTAGCCAGGTGTCTCACAGAAACTCTTGGGGCCGGGTACAAAGTTACCGAAATGGCCTGCGGAGACCTCCTCCTTGAAGTTCGAGAAAAAGAACAGTTTGAGAAGCTACAGAATCTTTCAACTTTTGGTGACACTCCGATCACTGTAACACCACACAGATCTATGAACACAACCCATGGAGTGGTATCTGATGCTGATTTGCTCGGCTTGACCGAAGAGGAACTTCTGGAGGGGTGGAAGAGTCAGAATGTGACCATTGTACAAAGAATCGTCATCAGAAGAGACAACAAGGTAACACCAACAAAACACCTAATACTCACGTTCGCTTCCAGTAATTTGCCAGAAAGTATTCAAACAGGGTACACGAAGACATCGATCAGTCGTTGTTTTAAATGCCAGAGGTATGGCCACGGCTCACAAAGCTGTCGTAGTCACCAAACTTGTGCACAATGTGGAGTGTCAGGCCACAATTCTGACAACTGCGAAGAACCATCACACTGTGTGAACTGTGGCGGAAATCATTCCGCATACTCACGGTCTTGTTCATTTTGGAAAAAAGAAAAAAAAATCATCACATTGAAAATTAAAGAAAATATCACATTCAAAGAAGCAAGACGAAGAGTGTCGCTATTTTACGGCGCAACATATGCTGATGCAGTGTGTCAGGGGGCAACGCTGCACCAGCCCTCGCCACTCCTCCGGCCAGTGCAGAGCGAGCCATTGGCTGTGGCGCCTGCCCCCAAGGCGGCAGTAGTTCAGTCTACTCCGCCTCCAAGCAAATTGAGGCCGGAGACTCCAGGGTCCTCTAGTCTCAAGGCCTCACCTCACCAGGTGAGGCCTAAAATCCGAACCACCAGCTCGCATGTGCGAGCATCCAGTGCCTCTGAGGAGGCAATGGATACAACGGTGCCCTTGGTGCCGAAAGAGCAGCGCGGCTCCTTGGAGCGCGCCAAGAAAAATAGAAAAACAATAACAGGGCCGGACGACCGTCCTGCCACCTGAATTAACAAGCTCACTCTAACACAAGATACCCTCTGTACACACAGCAGCATCTCTATTAATATGCAGACAGAAATATTACAGTGGAACATCCGAGGCCTTTTTCGAAACCTCGATGACTTACAAGAACTCCTCGATGAACACAATCCTGGAGGGCTGTGTGTACAAGAGACACTCTTAAAACGAACAAACACAAACTTTTTACGTAACTACGTAATCTTCCGAAAGGATAGAGATGACGCCATGCCACCATCCGGTGGTGTAGCGGTTATAGTTTTAGTCAAGGTATTGCATTGTGGGAATTGAGGCTGGCCCGCTGCCTTTGCGCGGGCTTTCCCGCCTTTTCTGCCATTCTCATGTCTCGACATGTCTGCCCTCCTTTGCTGTCTGCCGCGCTGGGAAGGGCGGAGTGACGTTTAACTCCCTCACCCGGTAGCGGATGTTGACTGTGGCGCCGCGCGGGGAGCCTCCCGAGAGGTTTTCGCGCGCTGCGTCGGGAGCGGTGAGTACAGTCCGGGACTTCAAACGGTGAGCCACGCATTTCTTTTCCGTCCGTCGAGTCCCGTCGCTCGGGGCTCGTCGGACTTCGCTGACGGCGCCTCGCGCCCGATGCGAACGCTCACCTTTTGTTGCCCCGCTGCGTACTCACGGCCGAAGGGCAGTACGGTGTCCTAGTGCGTGGCCGAGCTACGCCGACCCGTCTCCCTTCGAAGCCAACGCGAGCGCCTTTGCCCTCGCTCGAGCAACCGGGCCCCCTTTGTCCCGGTGTCTCCGTGGATTACCTTACCGCGGAGACGTGCTCGTGGCACCCTGTGTAGTACTTTGTGCCCGTGGCGTGGATAAGCCTACTTGCTTTCCCGCCGCGCCTTTTTGCAACGGGCTGTACTGCGTTTAGTGTTGCCACAATAAAGTGTTGCGACTTTGAGCAGTATCGTGTTTCCCGCCACGGCGACAGTTAACGCGTGCCCTGCGGCTCGCTAAGACCGGACCCACGCTGGTGGCCGTACTCCTTCGGGATACGTGTACACCACAGCATGTACACAATTACCCCTTCAAACTTCCCTCAAGGCGGTGGCTGTCCGAGCAGTTATTCTAAACAAACTTGTCACTGTCTGCTCTTTGTACATACCTCCGCACCACCGTCTTGAAAAACTTCAATCCCAGTCTTTAATAGACGAACTACCTGAACCTTATCTGGTCTTTGGGGACCTGAACGCACATAATGGTCTGTGGGGTGACTCTCGCTGTGATGCACGAGGTCGTCTCATTGAACAATTCCTCCTTTCATCGGGTGCTTGTCTGTTGAATAGGAAAGAGGCAACATACTATAACCTTGCCAACAAAACTTACTCTTCCATAGACCTCAGTATCGCATCTCCTTCACTTGTACCATTACTTCAGTGGAAAGTCATAAATAATCCATACGGAAGTGACCATTTTCCTTTAGTTTTGAGTACACCAATAATATATGAATGTCCTCCACATGTTCCCAAATGGCTGGTAAACAAAGCCGACTGGGAACAATTTTAAAAGATTACTCACTTAAGTTGGACTGACATATGCGGATTAGGCATAGATGAAGCTGTGCAGTACTTCACGGCTTTTCTTACTGGCGCAGCAGCCAAGTGCATTCCACAAACATCTGGACTGCCTGGCAAACGACACGTCTTGTGGTGGAACACTGAGTGTCAGAATGCGCGAAAGGAACAGAACAGGGCATGGAGGTTGCTGCGGAACTCGCCGACAGCGGAAAACATTGAGAGCTTCAAGAAAATAAAATCTCGAGGCAGGATAACGCGTCGGCAGGCCAGAAGAGAAAGCTGGCACAAGTTTTTATTAGGGATAAATTCATATACACAAGAGGCTAAAGTCTGGAACATGGTTCGTAGGGTAGCAGGAAAACAAGTGCACTCACTCCCACTCGTAAACACACAGGGTGACAGCCTGGAAGATCAGGCGAACTTACTCGGTGCACACTACGAGCGAGTGTCTGGCTCGTCACACTATACTGAAGCTTTCCAAATATATAAAGCAAGGATAGAAAAGCAGAAACTAGAATACAAGTGCACAAATCACGAGGCATGCAACCAACCTTTCAACTTAGCTGAACTACAAACATCACTAAACTCTTGCAGTAATTCTGCCCCAGGCTACGACCGTGTCACGTATGAAATGTTGAAAAACCTGCCGCTCAAAACGCGAAAAACTTTACTCTCTCTATACAATGCTATCTGGCTTTCTGGCACCATTCCTGCTTCCTGGAAAGAGGCTATTGTTATCACTATTTTGAAACAGGGCAAGGACCCTTCCTCAGTTTCAAGTTATAGGCCCATTGCACTAACCAACTGCCTTTGTAAATTTTTTGAAAAAATGATAAACCGCCGACTTTTACATTGCCTTGAAA